GATTAATGATGTGTGTGGGTGTCCTGTCTTAGTGACTTGGGGAAGCCCCATTCCCACAGCTGATAAGTTTACTTCCTCTTTTAGCCCCAGCTGAGCATCACCTCTGACTCTTCGTGGCCGGGGTCACCCGCGGTGTCAGCAGGACGCTGAGCAGACCCCACTTTGCTTGTCCATCACAGCGGCTGATTTATCGGGGGGTCTGGCGGCCGTGTGCGCGCATGCGAAAGATTTTATGCTCATGTGCGGATGAGCTCATTGACTTTTGCTACTCTTTAAATCGGAAATATGCTTATTCGAACACAAATATACCAGTGAATGGACACTTCAGTCAAACAGGAGACTCAGAGTGAGAGCAGCTCTAGCTTGTGAATGCTTCTCTGTGTGCCTTTAACTCCAGGTAGGTAGTTTGTACTTTGAAAGATACAGTTATATGTTACCATGTCAGATGAATTAGTATTTTTAACCCAAAAAGCAATACACTAATTTAATCTTCTAAATGCCCCTCTGTCCTTTAAAAAAATGTTTAGATAAGGATCATGAACTAGAGCAAGCAAGCACATGGATATTCTTAGCCTCACATGCTGAAACCTTGCTGTCAGTGTTGCTGAATAAAAGCGAGCTCTCCAGAGACAAAGAAACATATTAATGTTCAGTTTTCTCTGTTAACCTGATGCTCTGCTTCTAACAAAAGATTAGAGTGTGTGTGGCAAATGCTTTTTGTGATAGTAATGGTGATGTGTGAAAAACAGGTGTTTTGGACCCTTTACTAGTGGAAAACAAGTGTCCAGGTCAGTGAGTGAAGGCTCACATCTGGCATGCGGATTCCATTAAAGATAAGTGAAGCACAAGCATGTGCGTATGTGTGTGTGTGTTTCTTTTGTTGTGTGGAAAACTCACTCAGAAAGAGACCGTGGGTCAGAAGGCTGTGGGAGTGACCCACACCCAATGACAGCCCTTTTTAAACACTGTACTGTTGTGTGTAAAACGACATACTTAGAGCCTCCTGGACCAGAATCAGAGCTCCCTTTTGGGCTGGAAAAGACGCTTTGAAGCCCTGTTTCCCTTTACTCTCTGACCCATCCGCCCAATAATGAATGAAGAGGTTGTTAAAAGAGGAATGGCAGGTGTCCACTTGTGTGTGTGGGTGTGTGCGTGTGTGTGTGCGTGCAAGCACATTCCTAAATTGCAAGTCTTCTGTCTTATTGAGAGATTAGTGAAACATGTCGTTCTGTTTTCACATGTTCTTTTGACAGTAGACAAAACAAAGTGGCAAACAGACCCCAAATTATTACAGAATGTCACTTTGCTGGAGGGTACAGATATCAAACTGTAGAAAAAAATGGCAAATCGCCAAAAGTTATTTCTCTCACTGAAAAAGTAGGCTTTATTCCCTACAAAACCTTAAATAAATTAAATATTGTTGCTATGTGGATCTTTTCTACTCATATTCTCCAGCATGACGTGTTTCCCCATAGGGAAAAAAGTACCTTCTATAATCATTAAAAATTACAGTGGTTTGAGAGTTTAATGCTGTTTTTCTTCCCTGTTGCGATGATACAACTCAAATACCTCAAGATGTGGGAGGCAGCTCTGTCCTCCAAACTCTTGCTATCTAATCTAATAATACTCCTCTCGCATGCACAAGTATTACAAACTGTGACATTGAGAGATAACATACGAAAATACAGGAGCAACAAGGGGAGTATGCCTAGGAAGGTGCTGATGCATTTACTTTAATCATAGGACCTTATGGCATGTTGTGAAGGCATTTCACAGTTTAAATTTCACATATCGTTCATATAATATGTCACACGGGTACTTCTGAAAACTTTGACCAAAACAAAATGTTGTAGATGGATTTTTATGGGCCCTCCTGACAGATTGCTGAACATCATTGTGAGTGATAGCTTGGATGAGCGTGGAGGAGCTCTAATGGCATGGAGAGAGGCTTTAGATGGGCTGGGAACTGCCGAAGGCTTTGTGGTAAGTTTCAGATGTGATTTGTAGCTGAGATTCCCACATGACATGTGCTGGGTCAGCCTCAGAATTGGAACCATAATGGCCACAAAAGAATGAATCTCTCCTGTAACCCCCCCCCCCCCCCCCCAACCCAAACCCACCCCCCCCCCCCCCCCCCCCCCCCCACACACACACACCCTCCGCCTCTTTCTCCTCGGTTTCAGATATTCCCCCAGTGTCCCCCCTCAAACGGTGTCTGTTTTTTGCATGACTCATTTGTCTTCCAATAAGGCTGTAAACCCCCCTCCCCTTCGCCTCTCCAAGTGTCGGAGGAAAAAGATCGGCTCGCCGGAGCTGCTGGTGCCCGTGATATGAGTGGTGGTGGGGACAGGCCCTGGTTGGCTTGCTGACCAACATCAGGCCCAAATGACGCAGGCTGGGGTTCAGCGGTGAGGCAGGCGAAGGGGTGGGACTGTGGGAAAAAAGTGCTGTATGAACATTTACCACAGCTTTAAAAAAAATCTGATGGGATGAGTCGAAACGGCTAACACGAGCAGATGCCGCTTTCATCCCGTGTTAAGCATGCTAAACGTGGGTGGGGCGTCATTCATTTAATTTCTCTAAAATCTTTTTTTTTCATGCTAAAAGTAAAGGAGAGAAGCGGTGCTCCAACAGCTCGAGTGCATGAACAGCTGAGTTCAATCTGTCTCACACCAGAGCATTTGTCTTTTAATTTGTCTTTTTAAAGAGCTCAAAACAGTTTGTGCTCCCAGGTTGAGTTGCAGACTGATAAAATGTCTTTGTTGTGTTATTCGCCATTCACAACATGTCAGAAAATCTCTTTTAATTGCCATGCCATTGTTTTCTCTGTCGGACAACATCGTAATCACTTTTTAACACATGCAGCAATGACACACATTCAAAACGGCTCCTATAGCTTTTAAGCCCCGAGTTTGTCTGACAGGAGCAGGAAACAAACAATTCCTGAATGAAGTCTTTATAAACAACACAATAATATAGTTTCACCTTCTGTTCTGTCAGAGAGGCCAATGCAGTGGCCATAAAGAACGGTGTCCCATATACAATGAAGCAATTCAGGACAGTAAATGGAGCAAAAGGAATCGTGTGTGACGTTTGTAGAGTTTGCAGCCTTAGTTCTAAAAAGCTTTGTATGATCTGTAAAAGTATACTCAAAAGCCTGAGAAAGAATTTTTCTGAAAGATTCACATAAGAGTTGTGAGATGAAAAAACTAAGTTTATATGTGTGGTGACATGTAAAGAAATGATTTATGCCCCGCAAAAAATGAAAGCCCTCATCATTATCAAAATACCTGAAGTGATTCATGAACGTGCGTCCATCCCGTCGTATGTTTGTGCTTGCTAACGAATGGGATGGGTTGAAGCTTGTGTGGATTTTGTTCGTTTCATTCTTTGTAGCAGTAGTACTCTGCTGGAGGCAGCCATTTCCATTGTGTTGGAGCGGGGAGTCAGCACATATCATACAAGCCAAACGGTGCACAGAAAGTACGAGAGAGAGACAGAGAAAGAAACGGAGGCTCAATTTTTGTATGAGACTAAACTCGCTGTGGTAGCTAAACTTGGCCATGATGAACATATTGGTTTAACTTTTTTAAACTGCCATGTGAACATCGGGTGGATCTAACTTCTGCTCTGAGCTGCACATCTGTAATTAGATGTCACTCAGTTTATTTATGAAATATCTTTTTCAATATGCAATATCACCCTGTTGTTATGTTATTATTTTACTTTCATCTGGAAGGACTTACATAACTACAGATAAGAGCTTGAAATATAAAACCCGTTATTTGACCCTGTTCATATTTCTGGGCCTTTAGAAGTAAAGGTAAAGTCAACATAACACAGTTTACTTAAAGCATTGCATTAAAAGTTTAAGGTATGAATACTTTAATCAAGAATGAAAACAGAAGTTACAGGCAGTGATGTACATTGTGAAAATAATTCTAAGATGTCTGATGGGTTTTTCCATTCTCTTTTCAGAAAAGCAAAATCATGCAGCAGATTTTTTTTATTCTGATCATTCACCTCTGATACCAGTGACAGCATGCCCCTTGCCAGAGGCTCATGGAAATGCCATTTTAGGGATGGTGCCTCTGACCTGGCAAAAAACTAACTTCTGATTTCTATCCTAATATTGGGGAGCTTACTGTGCAGATTGAGATCACTTTGAGGAACAGTGGGACAAAACACATCCTGTTTTTACACACTCTTCATGAAAATATGATAAAAGAAGCTATGATTCAGCAGCCAACAGAGATAAACTAAAAGGGACAAAAGAAAGCACACTCTGTACCTGCAATCATTCACTATTTTTATCATTTCAAGCTGGAAAATTACAATAATAGCATTTATTGGACATGTTGCATCTTCAGATTATTTTAGATAGTAGTTATGTCCTTGGATGCATTTGTCAAACAGACACAATTTAAATGTATTTGTCTTTTCCTTAAATCTTCTCCTCACCATCATTTCTGCTTGTCAGAAACTTGGATTAAGCTTTCAGATCTGTAGAGGTTTCTTTCCAAAAATGAAATATCAGTTATCCTGAGTTTAGTTACCCTAGTTTTTCTTCATTTGTTTCTTTTGATTTGCATAGCAGACCGGTGACGTTTTAAATATATCTTCCATAGCCTTGCAGCCCCTAGGGCAGCCTCACTAAAATAGCTGAAGCTTCGTAAATTGCATTTTGAAAGCAGGCATCAAATATGTATGTTATGTAATGTATTGCTTCTATTATGTCTAAGATTTTAATCGTTTGGATTCTTTTCAGTGTGCGTGTGACATAGTTTGAATTTGTTTTGTCTGTATTAGTCTGATGTCACTGTGTCCTCCGTTTAAGTGTTTGGACGTGTTGAAAGAAAGGTTCACGTTCTCCACGTTATGTTGGTAACCCACTCGTGTGTGTCAGTGGGATTTCACTCATAGAATATTGTGAGCAATTGTTTTTTGGCTTCCTTGGAGGAGTTTGGCTGGATGTTTGATTTTTTTCTTTTCTTTTCTCTTTGTTTGTGACCTCAGGTGTCCTGTCTCTGCCGGCCCATTTCAGCCCCTACACGGAGAACCAGCAGACGCCTGTGGACAGCAGGGAGGATGCTTATGCACAGCTAGAGCTGAGGACACTGGAACAGTCCCTGCTGGCTACCTGTGTAGGCAGCATCTCTGAACTCAGTGAGTACAGGAAAGTCTTTATGATGTCGGACACACTTTCAAATGGGAACATTCGTAAAGGAAATAACTGACAACAAATGTCCGGTACACATTTGTGGAAACTCTGTACAAATAGCCATTGTGTTCAGTATTACACCACACAACCAGACTCAAAGGGAAAAAAGACCAGCTATGCAGAGATATTTTCTCCAAACCAATATGTTTTCTTTATATTTTTATTGAGTTTAAAAAATGTATCAGGCTAAAAATATGTTTTTATTACATTTACATTTATGCATTTAGCAGATGCTTTTCTCTAAAGGGGGTATAACATTCAACTGCAACACCAGTTACACACATACCTTACCTTGAGTGCAATATGCTAGAAGAGGATTTACCATTAAGGATTTAACATTCAACTATAACATAGGTTACACAAGTAATATACATTGAGTGCTATATGCGATTAGGAAAAAAGTGCATTTAGAGCTTTCAGGACAATATATACTCTTGGAAGAGCTGGGTCTTCAAGGATTTCTTGAAGGGGGAAAGAGAATCTGATGCTCTGATGCTTGTAAGGTCATTCCACCGGTGTGGAACCACAGATAAGACTCTGGACTGACCTTTCTGGGTAATGGCCATGTTAGGTAGTGCTCCTTTGAGGAAAGGAATGGGCGGGCAAACTTTTTTTTTTTTCTTCTTTTTTTTTCACAATCAGAGGTGCTGTCTGAAATTTGTAACTTAAGTTAATATGTTTATCGTTTGATTTTTTTTTAAGATGTCAGTGGAAGATTGGGGAGTCTGTGGAATGCTGGAGGGAAAAGATTGTGTGTGTCAAACTGAGATGTAGACAGCTGAGGACAGAATTAGTGTAGTTTATTAAATGACTATTTTGGTACCTGTCAATGTGGTGGTCTGAAGATTTACTCACCAAAAAGAAAGTAAAAGCCCATGTGGCAAGTGAGTTTTAATTTAGGACCATATGCCATATTTGGCTGTTTTTGAACATTTTGTTCACCTTTTATTTCAAGAAGACAAGTCTTAGGAAAATAGTCACAGGAAAAAGGCAAAGTAACTAAAAAAGCCAAAGTAAGAAAGAAAGTCGCAATAAACTCCACTCCTGACAAGTTCTGATGGCTGATAATTGGTTCTTTATCACTTTCTGTTCTGAGATAAGTCCTATCATGAGCCTTATTCTGCAAATAATCTATTTCACATTCTTCTAAAATAAGCATTGGTGTAGCTTATCTACACATTGTGCTCCAGAGAATAAAGTGATAATGCCTCCGCTTGTGTAATGCACAGTCAAGCCTCAGCTTTCAGCTAACACAGGAGAGTAATGTGGACTTATTTAGCATTCTTGTGATAAGATTTCAATTTTAACTCTCTTTTTTTATTTATTTGGATGCTGTTTTTTTACCAATTGCGGATGGTATTGGTAAAAAGCACAGGTCAGGTTGTAAATAAGCAATAGAGAAACAGGATTAGAAAAAGGTTTAAGCTTGAGCAATAATCCATTTAGTTCATTGGGTTTAGTTGTCTGAAGCGCAGGGGGTCAGGGTGGAATGATGGAGAGGCAGAGAGGTGAAGAGTAAGGTTGTTGGGCCAGGGAAGGGGAGGAGAGATGGAGGTTAGTGTTGGTAAGAGCAGGGATAAGTTTCCCAGTCCAAATGAGCTAACACTCCGTCATTTGTTCCTTCAGCACAAGGCCACGTTCATTCACTGCTGCCGTTAGTGAAGCATTAAGAAATACAGACACACTCTTTCTCTCACATGCGCTCAGTGGTCTCTTTGTGCCACATCCCTCTGGAGGGGTGAAGCAGGGCTAATCTGGGCAGGCATGGCATCCAGACTCGTTCACGCCTAAAAGCACACGCAGGCGTGTGTCCCCGGATTCATGTTCGCACAACAAAAACACACTGGGTTTGGCACTGTGATCAGAGCCCGGGAGAGCAGGCAGACACTGGAGCATCTGTGCCGAGCTGTTTGGTCCGGCAGGATTTCTGTATTGGACCCACATGCATACATATGACAGATAATGGATAGCATGATATTGGCCATCAGGTTAACCAAGGAGAAATGTTCAAAAGCACGATCACAAGATCCCATATTGAAATGACATTTTGACTACAGCTCAAAGGCCAATGTGAGTTCTCAAAAGGTCTGCATAAGAACATTTTTATTTAATACATAGGGCAATGGCTGCTAAATAGCTTGATTTTCAAAAACAACGATTACTCTTTTCCTTTTAACTTGAAGTATTTCTGGTCCATCTCCATTTAAAGGATGCATTCCACAATTTATTTACCTTATGACTTTGTAATCTAAGAATGAAGTATTTCATATCCCTCTGACCCCTGGAGCTTAGTTTTCCTTTGGGGCACAATATAGGCTGGTAAACAGAGGAGAGGTTCTCCATCTTAGCTGGAATTCCAGGGAGACCTCCTGGAGGGACATTTGGTGGTGGTTAACACAAAGGAGGCCCTTCAGCTTTAAGTGGGGTCTGTTTTTGGGAGAGCTATCCAAATGTTACCCCCCTCGAACTACCCAAAAGAACCTCTTGATTTAGACTGTCTAAATCTAATAGAAATTTTAACTTCATAGCAACTCTTCCTGCTTCTCTTTCACTTTGTTGACAAAAATGGCCACTCACCTGGATCTACAGGCTTTTGTGGTAGCTTTTACATGCCCCCTTTTTCTGTGCGCTCCGTCTGTGTTTATGTAAATGATTGCAGTTATCTGAATGATTGCATGTGGTTTCCCACCAAGTTCATATTATGGATCAATGACTCCTTTGATAAGCTGCATGTTTTATGGTTTTTCGAATAAAAGTTTTGATGCAAATTGTAGATTAGATAAGCACCAAAGCAGAAAACACTGAAGTATTCATTCAAAACAGAGCTTGATTTTATCTTGTGACTGAAACACAACTTTCCAGGCTAAGTGCAGTGCGTGCATTGTGCCAACACATAAACAGCTGAACAGTTCATTAGAGCCTGTGATCAAGTGTCTGTTAGTCCTTTAACTCTTTCAATTATTAAAATGAATGGCTGTTTCAGGCTGGCCGTCTGGCTCTGCTCACTGATAATGACACTGCTAATGGCAGATACCACTGGAGACATGGAGTAAAGCACGAGAGGAAAGTAGTTAGGGAAAAAGGAAATCCGGTTTGCCTAGGAGCCCAAACGGTTTATGAAGAACAACCCAGAGCTCCAATTATTCTTCTCTTTTCTCTCTCTCTCTCTCTCTTCTTTTTTTTCTTAATTTTCAACCTGACATTTGTCTCACGCAGCAATTCAGTGATATTTTCAGCACAAAATGAACAAGAATTACTAACACAAAGGATTAATAACCGTAGTGTATTTAATCAGAGCAAAGGTTTTCTGATGTTCGGATGTGGCTCTGTGTTCCAGGTGACTTGGTGTCCCGGGCCATGCACCACATGCAGCGCCTGAGCTCAGTGCGTCCAGGCCAGAGCCCAGCCCGTCACACCCGTGCCCAGCAGCCCGTGTCCTGGTCGCCTGACGCCCTCCACACCCTTTATTACTTCCTGCGCTGCCCGCAAATGGAGTCCATGGAGAATCCCAACTTAGATCCCCCACGCATGGCTCTTAGCAGAGAGAGGTAGGATCCATGGCTGACTGCACACAACCATTTTACATGCTCTGTCTGTTTCTCTCTGCTTTTCTCTTGGTGTGTAATAGGAAGGGAAATAAAACAAATAATTATGGAGAGCAGCTCTTTTTAAACGTTTTTTTTAATCACAATACTTTCGCACTGTGCTCATCTTTTCCTTTCAATTAACTTTTTTGTTTTGCTTGTATTCCTTCTGTCCTGTAGCATTGGACAGGGATTTATTTAGCTTATAAGATTAATAGAAATGTGAGCCTTTCTTTTCTTTACATACTTAAAAGCTTTCCCTCAGGCCATTTAAGTGTTAATTCTCAATAGGTTTTTTACAAGCAAACAAAAGCTCTCAGGTGTCAAAGTTTGTCTGATTGAGGGCTAATCGCACCTTAGGGTGGAAGCAGGCCGAAGACTGTGTGTCTGAGGGGTCTTGAGTGGTGCAAATGGTCTGTAACTCTGTTCAAGTATCCAGAGCTCATCCTTGTTTTTGTGTTAGAATAGACTTAAAAGCATGTTCCAAGTGTCCAATGTCTATGCCAATAAGACACATTTATTTTCAAGTGATGTTTCAGTCACATGAAGCAATTCTCACTGAGGTGACTGAAGTTGTATGTTTTTGTTACTCTCCCAATTCCAACTGATTGAAAAAAAAAATTGTGGTAGAGTTAATGCCATAGCAGCTATTCCAGAATATATTCAAATGTTTCAGATGAACCCTTATTTTCTCTTAAAAGTAGCATTTGTGTCAAGTCAATCTGATACATTTAATAATGAGCAAAGAGTGAGAAAGGGTGGATTCCTCATTAGCATCAAATAGAGCAAAGCAACAAATACATACTCCTTTACTTACTCCTTTTCCTGTTTCCCAGATGTTTTTTTATAGTGGATATATATGAGCTTGTTATCCCCCACTTAAACATTTTTCTTTTGAGTCTTTTTTATTTTATTTTAGAACATCTGCCTGTGACTACTTTGCCCTTCTCTGTATCTCTGAAAGTAAGCACAGAGTCAACTCAGGTGGTAGGTTTGAGCTCCGCAAACCTGGTAGTGATTACAATGCGAGTGCCTGGTAATAATACAGGGGGGTTTCCTCACAGTGGGCCTCTCCATCTCTCTGACCCACCCTCTATTGAAAGCTTTATAAAATCTTGGTGGAAATCCAAAACCACCAGATTTGTGTGGCCTACATCATCAAACATTATGGAGAGCCTGCTGAGAGCCTTGTTTCAGAATCCTTTTTACAACACAAGATGACCCTTTTCCATCCCCTAAATCTCCTCCTTGGCTGCGAGTGATGATCGTGTATTGGACTGTATAAATACAAGGGGAAGGCATTTTGGTTTTTATATCTTGTTTTTGTCAAAGTAAACAGATTTAAAAAAAAAGAAAAAATGAAGGCTAAACAAGATCTAACAGACTTTTCTGTGGTCATATTATAAGCTATTCCCATCATCCCAACCCCCAAATCCACTGCTTCCTTTGAAGGGTAGAAGGGAGCACTAATGGACAGATGTGTTACTGATAAGAAACAACCAGCAGAGCTTACAACCAACCACAAATACATCAGATTTGATTACATCCCCTGTTTTGTCGCACATATAAGTGTAATCTAACTCTAGATCAGTGGTTAACCTTGACCCTTTTCAAACCACCAAGGGATCTGCTTTAAGATCTCACTGAGGTTTCTTACCATGTAAACTCAAACATTCTGGGTTCAGGTTATAGGCCATACAGGATATATGGGCATGTGTGATCTTTCCTCTTAAGAAGGAGAGCCTTCGCTTTTCATGTTGGACAGTTCAGAGTTCAAACACATCTGTCCATGATTTGAGTCGACTGTCATTTTACGAGCTTCCAGGTGGTAGTAAGCAAAGCATCATGAATCAGAGCAAACATTTATATGTGCATGTGCTGGATGGTATGTGTATGCGTGTCTGCAACCTGCTGTTCTCGCCGTGTAGCCTTCAGCGAGTCGGGTCAGTAGGCTAGCCATAGGCACTATCTAGTTTCATTGTTAACAGGCATCAAGACTTTGATGTTGCGCCGAGTTTCTGACAAAGCTGAAGTTTGTGTTTCAGGCTGAGGGGCATAACACAGACACAGGGGTCACGCTGGGGGTCTGTGGGGGGAGCAGTTTAGCTAATGAGAGGGAGATCATGAGAAAGAGGGAGGGAGAGGATTTCCGAGACAGATGAGCAGCTACATCTGTGTGGGTCTTATCCATTGACGTGTATGTAGCCATTAGCTCGTTAATTTTAAGCACTCGGCACTCACCACTAATACATTGGCAGAATGGACGGGGGACTGTTGGATACAATAAAATAAGCCAAAGAGATTTCACGTGGAGTCTTAAAAGCAAAATTCTGACATGTGAAAACATTTCTTTGCTTAGCAACGGACTGAGAAATAGAGTGTTAGGGAGTAGATTTTTTTTCCTGGTGGGTCCACTTTATATTAAAAACTAAAAGCTGTATATGGTTAATTTGAGTTGCTGTGTTAATGGATTAGCGCCAGTGCTTTTTTTCCTGTGTTTTTTTTGGAAGCAAACGAGAGCTTATAGGCATTGGGGCATACAGGAGGACAAAGAGACACGTAGAAACACACAAATGAATGAGTGCACGCGCACACCAGCAAAGCCTAATTTGTGTTGAGTAGAGGTCGTTAGCAGAGGAATAAACATTGATTTTCAATCCTGCTAAGCTTCCTTCTCCTTAGAAACACAACTTTCTTATCTTTCAATGCCCGTAGCAGTTTCCACAAACTGCCACCCATCCCCCTTCCTCATTTTGACATACCTCACCTGCCTCCTAGTCGTTTTCTCAAACACTTAAACCTTCATTATATGCGGCCATCAACCTCACTTAACCATCCCCTTCCCTCTAAAGCTCATCATCTCCAAGTCTGCTTGTTAAATGTTACGCCTGGCTGACAGCGGGACCCCCCTCCTGTCTGATCAGCAACTGATAAAACACAGAAGCCACGATTGACTGAATAGCAAAAAAGGCAAGCAAAGACTTAAGAGGGTACCCTGAAAGTCATTTCAAGGCCTCATACGTGTCACGACAAAAAGCCATTGCTGGCTAACAAATGTAGATTAATGTTAATGACAGAAAAAAAACTTTTATTCACATTGTATTAAATTAAAAATGCATCTAGGTTGTTAGACAGTTGTTGAGTTGATTAACTGTTGATGTACAGAAGGCGCTTTTCTTTTGTAAAATGCGAGACACCGCATGGGGATTAGTAATCATTAACCAAAGCCACAATCTGACATAGCAGTCCTGTGAGCGTACATAGTGTCTGTGCTATTGTTCCCTCATCTGTATTCAAGATATGCACTCAGTTCTTTGGATCACAGCTAAAAAGAAGTAAAGCCACTGATAGGAATAACAACACAGCGGGAGAAAGGTATCTTAGGCATGGGGTGGTGTTCAAACAATCATTAACACACTGTAACTGAGGCTTCCCACTGTCAAAAGCAAACTACAATCACATTGACGCCACTGTGTTATTGATCAAAGGGCGCATTCTATGCACATATGGTGGGAGAAAGGTGAATACGAGATGGGATTAATACTAGATAACCGTCTAGATGTGGCGTTGCTAATAGCCACGTCACCGATGGTTTTTAAAGGATTTAGATAACAGAAAAAAAATAGGGACAAAAAAATGCCACATTCAGTTACCATGGTAGTTTCATCTGGACATTGTTTGTCTTTTCACGGTGGCATTAGGCTCAGGGCAAGTCAGTTGTGTTTTTAACATTTAGTCTTGTTTCTAGTTGAAGTTTTTTAAAATCATGTTTTTAGCTGATGTTGCTCAGATTTTTTAAACTCAGTTGTTACAGTGCTAGAGTGCTGACGTTTGCTTCACGTCCCTTAGCTATTTTTCCGCTATTGTTTCATTAAAGTATCAAGAGGCCATTAAAGTATTTTGATTATCAGACCACAGCTGAGATACCTCACGTTCTTCCAGTCCAAGGACCACAGATGCAATGTTTGACTAAGCTCTGTACTCACTGACAATGACAAGAATCCCGGCTGCGTCTGTAATGCTGTCTTCATTTACTGCATGCATACGTGGAGGTTAATTTTCCAGTTTTATACTCAGTGTTGGAAAGAGATGAAGTCAATTTAGATTCATTAGAAGAGACTGAATCACAACAGCTGAAGAGATCATTATTCATTATTATTGTATTAAGTTTATGAGCAGAAGTTGAATAATTTAGCGTTTTCTTTCCAGGCCATTTCTTTTGCTGCCACCCCTGATGGAGTGGATGAGAGTGGCCATCGTTCATGCTGAGCATCGCAAAAGTCTACTTGTGGACAGTGATGATGTGAGACAAACTGCAAGACTTCTCCTTCCAGGACTGGACTGTGAGCCAAGACAGCTGAAGTAAATAAGAACGCACACACACACTTTACCGGGGCCATTCTAATTGACATATAGTGTAGAAAATCTAAAGAAAAACAAATACAATCCTGCATTTTGTAAATGGCTAACAACAACGGTAGTTTGCATATAACATCCTCATAACGAGTAAATTTAAAATGTGATGTATGGTGTGCAACAGTCACAGTTTTGATTCTCTCAAAGTTTTCTCAAACAGACTTGTCATTTTTAATGTCTGTAAGCAAATGGCTAAGAACTTCTTTGCTCTTTTGTAGGCCCGAGTGCTGCTTTAGCTCCTTCAAGCGTCTGGACTCCAAAGCTGCCACAGAAAAGTTCCACTTAGACTTGGGTTTTCGGATGCTCAACTGTGGCCGTACTGACCTCATTGGCCAAGCCATTGAACTTCTTGGGCCTGATGGGGTTAACAGCATGGATGACCAGGTATTGAATCTGTTGCACGTGTTGGATGGACGTACTGTAAACTACAACGTAGTATTGTGGCAACAACAGCTCCTTTCAGGCTAAAAAATAATCAATGTTGAGGTCATTTTTAAATGGTCAGTTTAGGCAGTGGATTTGGTTAAGCTCAGAGTAAGATTTCAGATAATTGGACAGCTGTGACTCAAGCATGCAAGCTGATTGCCCAATAATTGACTGAAGGTTCCTCTTGAGGGCAGCCTCCATGGCTGCTCCGCTGCAACTTAGAACATCTGTGGGTTAGTGTTAATGGGAAAATCATGTTTAAAAGCTTTATTGTACCTACGAGACTTTTAAGCATTCTGCACGTGTGTAACCAACTAACATTCAATTCAGTGCTTCTAAAAATGGAAACACAGCTGTGTGGAAAATTAATTTTCAGATTAGGATGATCGTTCTTACTCTAACCTGTTTTCACTGCACTCTGTCCTTCAGGGTATGACCCCCCTGATGTACGCCTGTGCAGCTGGAGATGAGGCCCTTGTTCAGATGTTGATTGATGCTGGGGCCAACCTTGATGTTGCGGTAAATATCAATCATACGCTCACATAAATATTTCATCGACATTCATTCACATTCGAACATTTTTAATCCCAGAGCTGCAATGAATATTATGATTTTTCGGTGTTGTCTGGAGAATATTCGGCTGACGTGCACTAAACATTTGTTCCGTTCTAACAGGTTCCACCATGCTCCCCGAAGCACCCGTCTGTGCATCCTGATAGTCGGTACTGGGCAGCCCTCACGTTTGCCGTTTTGCATGGACACATCTCCGTAGTCCAGGTTGGAAACACTTACGTACAGTATCATCCAGTGAATGAGCTCTTTATGTAACATGCCCCCGTGTAGTTATGCATTTTTTTCCTAAAGGGAAAGCACCCTGTTGTAAATGGAAAAAAAAAAGAATAAATGACTTTGCATTAACAGTGAATGCATTGTTATAAAAGGTGCATTGACAAATGTGAGGTCAGAGGGCAAGCCATAAAGGAGTTACAGGATGTCAGATTTTTTCTCAGTATAACAGATGTGGCGTTTCTCGGCAGCTTCTGTTGGATGCGGGGGCCAACGTGGAGGGGGCAGCCGTCCGCAACGGACAGGAGAGCACAGCGGACACTCCTCTGCAGCTGGCCTCAGCAGCAGGTGGGCCCGCGCGCACATGCTGTGGCACAAGGCGCAGCTGATGCTAGGGTGCAGTCCAGCTTATTGTTTATGTGTGGTTTGGCTTAGTTTTATTGTGGGTAAATTACGACTCTACTAAATTATAGAGACGCAAGGGGAAAAAAAAAAAGTAAAAAAGAGAGCAGAGGGGCTGCTGTTGTGGCTTTCTGCAAAATAATACTCACACTCACCATAGCCAATACTCTGATGTGGTAGTTTTCCTGAAGACCACCAAGTTGTGAACGGGTGGGAGTAATGAGGAAATGAAAGAGTAAATGAAGGTGTGGTGACAAAAGAGAAATGAGGCCCGCGGCTGTCTAGTATGCCCTGAGCCGCATTCCTCTGTAGGATTGTGTGAAAACAAAGTATTACTCCTGTGAAAGATACATGCTGCATTCAGTTACAGTCTGTAAATATAAATTAACATGAACGTGTTGTTATTTTGTGAAAGTAAAACCAAGTATAACTCATTTTTATCAGACTCTGGGACAAAATTGAAGTTAGTGGCATTAACAACCGGGCATGAAATAAAATAAACAGCTAAAAACTTGTAAAACAAGGTGTATTGGTGTATTGTAACATGATTAAGTGTTCATGTGCTTCCCAGGAAACTATGAGATGGTGAGTTTGCTCCTTGCACGGGGCGCTGACCCCTTATCAAAGACTCATGATGGAAATGCCCTCACATCGTCCCTTTATGAAGACATGAACTGCTTCAGTCATGCTGCTGCACATGGACACAGGTAAGCATCCCTCAGTCGGACATGGAAAAAACACAATATGACTGATTTTAGTTTCAGGGGAAACCCACATTTTGTAACTTCACACCGAATCTTTATTTAAGAAGGCTTTATTCAATTTACTTAGATGAAATTGAAAATCTCAAAAGCATCACTGTATGAAAACTACCTCCAGTTTTGTTTTTTTGTGAAGTCCATTTGTTAGAAGACCAAAAAGGCAGTGTGAGAAATCCACCTGTTTGCTCTGCGTATGTGTTAACACACATAGACTCAACTGTAGACTCAACACTTCACATTCCACACTGATGGCGATAGATTAGGTAATCAGAGGAGATAACTGGGTCAGTGACACTGGAGTTTGTGCTGCTGTTTAGGAATATATCACTGACGCCATGCTTTCTGTTTCCTTCTTTGCTTGACCTCTTTTCTATCTGTTTCTTCTCTTGATTTATCTTGTCAGAAATGTGCTGAGGAAGCTACTGACTCAGCCTCAACAAATCAAAGAGGATGTCCTGTCTCTCGAGGAGATACTAGCTGAGGGAGTGGAAGATGAGGTCGCCGGGATCTGCCCTTTCCTTCGTCTGTCCCCTCTACCAACCCCTTCCAACGGCAATGCAGCTCTGCCAGAGGTCGGCATTCCAAAGCTTTGCAAAGCCAGGACCAAGGCTCTGCAAGAGGCTAGCTACTACAGCGCTGAGCATGGCTACCTTGATGTCACCATGGAGCTTCGCGCAATGGGTATCTAGCTTTGAATGTGAAGAGGATGTTCCAACTTTTTTAGAACTGTCAGAGAACTAAATGGCACACCCTTTCTCTATGATCAGGTGTGCCGTGGAAACTGCATGTGTGGCTGGAGTCTCTTCGCTGTGCCCAGCAGCAGTCCAGGGCAGGGATCACCCTCTGCCTCCTCAGAGAGTTCACCACTATCCGAGAGGAAGACTACTGCGAGGAACTGGTGGCTACAGGCCTGCCACTAATGTTCAATATCCTACGAACCACCAAGGTACCATCAAAGACAAAAATGGACAGCCATTTCCTTTCTTTCTTTTTTTTATATTATTCTTAATGATCAGCAATATAATACACTCCCTCTTCTCCCCTCTCTAGAACGATGCCATTACACAGCAGCTGGCAGCTATTTTTAGTCACTGTTTTGGTTCAGCCCCCCTTCCAGCCATCCCTGAGATGAAGGCATCTCTCTCAGCACAGTTGGGTAAGGAAGCTGGGATTCTTTTGTTCTGAGAACACATAGCTTATAAGTGGGCAAATGTTTAGTTTGTATTTAGTGCTTCACTGTCCTAAAAGCCAGAAAAATACTCAGCCCTAACAGTACCCTCCAATCCAAGAAGATTTGTCATTGTTTTTATGTGTTTTTTTGTTTGTATTAAGAAATTCTCCAAATCCCAGCAGCCTACAATTTAGCTTACAAGCCTTGAAGCTTGTAAGCATGAGCTTTTCGGCTGTAAACTAAGAGCCATCTGTTCACACTGACTTAACATTACACTGAAAAGTAACGCTGAATGGCATCTTTTTAACAGATCCGCACTTTTTGAACAATCAAGAGATGTCAGATGTAACATTTGTGTTGGAAGGAAAACCATTCTACGCACACAAAGTCCTTCTGATTACTGCATCTGACAGGTACAGATATTTTTCCCTGGACAGATGACACACATTAATCTCCTCGATGATATCCTGAAAAGGAAAGACCCTTAAAGATTTAGAAGAAAACATGTGTTTTGCTATAGATTCAAGTCCCTGCTGGCATCGAATGGGTCAGACGGAAGCCCGAACAAAGAGATTGAGATCACCGATGTCAATTACAGCATTTTCCAGGTAAAATATTCATTTCACATAGAAGGAAATGCACATTGATTATGTAAAGCAACCTCTTAAATGAGTTTGTGCTAAATCAGACTTTTGCCTTCCCTGCAGATGATGATGTCATACTTGTACTGTGGAGGGACCGAGTCGATAAAGACTAATGTGCCTGACTTGTTGGAGGTGAGAAATTCTGTAAAGATACACTGTAGCTGTTTTAAAAAGATTAGTGGAAAAACACTGGTAAACATGAACACACCAACAAGTGTATATTGCATGACTTAAACATGGTACATGGCTGCCTGACACATTTTCTTCTCTCTTTTCTCAGCTGCTGTCAGCTGCTAGTCTGTTCCAGCTGGTGGCACTACAAAGACACTGTGAACTCATCTGCTCTCAACACATCAACTTGGATAATGCAGTCAGCATTTACAAGACAGCCAAGGTAACACATGCACCCATGAGGGTTCCGTTAAATGCTTTTTGTCGTCCCGTTTTTCCACACAGCTAAAGCGTGTCCTGTCACTGTGCTCTCCCTTCAACAGACTCATGGTTCAGTGGAGCTGTGCTCATTCTGTGAAAGTTATTTCTTGAAGCAAATGCCCGCTCTGATAGAAAAGGAGGGTTTCAGGAGCTTGTTGTTGGGACCGCCGGGGGCCCGACACGCGAACAACTCCTCTTCACTGACTCGCAGTCGGGGTGACTCACCTCTAGAGGAGCTGGAGGCCATCTTGGCTCAACGTCTACGCTCCCTCTATGTCTCATCTAGAGTCTGAAGACATTTCACATGCTGTGGAGAGAATACAGAAAACAAACTGAAGGAGAATAGTAGTTGGAATGGAAATCTAATCTAATCACTGATAGAGAATCTGATATTTAGGATTTGTCTGAATGGTATAAATACATTTCTTTTCTCGGCGACATCTGATTATCTTTCTCCTGAGGAGCCACTGTCGCAGAATTTTGAGATTGGTACTGACCAGTGAAAGCCTCAAACAGCAATTCACAAATCAGTGCTTCATATTTTGTGCCAAGCTTTCCACTGATAGGTTTATTGCGGTGAGAAGCATGTTTATGCTGAAGAAAATTCCATAATGCGTTGTTTTCCTATTCCAAAGCTTTGAAAGCTTGACTGGAAAAATCAACAAGTGGATGGGACAAATGGAAACTCTAAATAACGAAAGACTGCTGCCATCTACTGGACCAACCAAGCATAAATATGATGGCCTCAAATGATTGGGATGAGCAACGCCCGTCTGGTCTTGACTGATGTTTTGAAGAGTGACAGTTGAAGGATCTATCACAGACTGAAAGCGAGGACCCATTGAAACTAGTAACACCGAGTAGGAGGCAGAGGGTAGCCCAAGTTGCTTCTGCAGTGATGTAAACATTGAACTAACAAATGTTCTTTTTGACATAAGTGTAAATTGTTCCTTTTGTTCGTCTTTTTCTCTTTTACGTTTGACCAGAGTGACACACTTAGTGCAAAGTGGGATGGACGTTTTCTATTTAACGAGGAAAAAAGTTGCAAGAGTATTTAATTTGGGTGTTCCCTTTTTATCGTTTTTTAAGAATTTTTTTTATCCAAGCTAATTATTATTGTTAAGAATACTTATGTTGTTTGTCAAAGTAAACTAACAGTTTATAAAGCTTAAAAATTCTGAGGTTTATTGTAACTAGATCCCAACCTGGGTCTGTTTTAATGCTGAATACTAAAATAAATCATGTAAACAATCACTCATATGTTTCCAGATACAAACTATCTCATACAATTTAATCAATTTTTCTTCAGAAATGTGAACTTACCTGAGGCTGGGAACCACCACACTTGTAAATGGACAAACCTATAAGATGGTAGATCACGTAATGGGGAGAAAAATGTTAGTTTGACAGAAATGACCATCCTTCTAACAACTGATACTGAGGTATCAGACTTTCTTCTGGGGCTCTTTGTACCATGCGTGAGCTGCTATGAATAAGGAAAACAAAAAGACACCATAACTGAATGAGTTTATTTGTTTCAGCATTGAAGATGCTCACAGTTATGTTATATGGGGATTACAACAGTAGGTTCTGTTCCTGCTCTGTCAAAAGACCCTTCTGGGCCTATTTTCAATGGATGTCCTTAGTGCTGCTAGCTTCCCTTTGTAGAAAACAGAAAGGAGGGTGAATATCAGGTATTGCTTTGTGTTTGTTTGTCGTACTGGTATTCCCTCCCTGTGCCTCCTGTGAAGAGAGCTCAGACCTCCAAGCTTAACAGAGAGGTACAGAGTAAAGGAAGCATTGCCTAAAAACTTTATGCAAAACATTAGCAGGAGGAGGGAGGGGCAAAGGAAATTCAGCAGAATAAAGGATATAATTCAACAAAAGACGGTTAAAAAAAATCAAGCATCAGGGGTGAAAATAAGGAAAGAGAGAAGGGAATTCAAAACTTTAAAAAGGTAGTTTTGTAAAGAGAGAATTAATGAAGGCTGATAGAATGAGTGAGTTTGGCATGGAACATTAACACTAAAGCCATGCAAAGAAAAGCTCATGTTTGACATGCACACAGTAATACAAGCTAAAAGCGTAGAGCAGGAATCCCCAGCATGGTTGAGAAGACAATCAACCCCCACAGCTTGTCTGTCTATTTACAAAGAGAAGAAGCAGATTGGGATCTGTGCTGTCCTTCTCCTCAGGCCTGGCCTACACGCACAATAATATGAAACTGACAAATATCAATAGAGAAGCATTATTCCTCTCCAAAAAGAGGCTAAGTCTACATTCTTAAATTACTGGTAAATATTTTTTTTCTTTTTCCGGTGTTCCAACAAGTCGTCTTTCTCTCTTCAGCGAGGGAATAGAGAACTTGAGTTGTCAAAGTTCAGAACAAAGCAAAAGAAAAGAAAAAAGGTCATTTTTTCTTCAAATGTTGTCCCATTTACAAACACACAAGAGGGTAATAAATAACATTCAACTGAGCTAACAGCTTTTTTCATATAAATAGCCAAGTTATAATAAATTAGGAATCAAACTGTAAGATGAACAAACATGAATAAATAAGGACAACGATACAAAAAATATCCACAATTGCATTTATCACATCTTTTTTTCCTTTTTTTGTTCCTCTACTCCTACTGCTGGTATGTGAGACTAAGAGAGAGGTACAAATGGTAAATCAACGACAAAGTGCTGCAGATAGCAGGAAACAGGAATGTTTGGATAATTTTCAGGTCTATTAACCAAGGACATGATCATGTAACAAAAATACACAGAAGAATTTAAAACAACAGAATGTGGCAGGTGCAGGTTTAACAACCTGTTCCTATGGTATCTAAACATAGTGTCACAACTAGACATTTCATATTTTTACATTAGAAATTATATCAGTCTGTACAACAGAATAAATCATTCATATTAAATACCCACAGACCCACCCGCTTCCCTCCCCCCACCCAATACGATCATTTCATCTCCCCATTTTCCCCACGTCCTAGTCCTGCTCATGCCCAAATCCTCTCTGAAATCTCAGTTCCAGTCCATGTTGCAGCAATAGTGTTAAGACTAATAAAATCAGTCAGTAATTCAAACCTAGTTCATCACAAAGAATGTACAATAAAAAGCAAACAAATACAATCCAGCAAGCATCCTTGTGTCGGTTGTTTCGGACTTTCAACAAACTCCTCTCTTGTCCCTCCTCCTCAGATTTCTGCATGTCTTCGGTTTTTTCGTTGTTGTTTTTTTTCTCCATTTTTTGGATGTAGTTCATCATTAATACATCCCAGAGTTTTGTGTGCATACTTGACCAGTTTGTGTTTATATGTTTTTTTTTTCTTGTTATTTGTAGTGTCAAATGTGTTTCTGACCAATGTGGTTTTCCTCATGACCAAATGCCTCTTGGGGTCAGAGTGGAAAGTGGCTGGCTGGTGATGCGAGTGTTCTTTTCCTGTGTGTGAGTCTGTGTGTATCCGTGTGTATTCGTGAATGTGGGCTCAAGTGTAGGAGAGTATAACACTGAAGGATTCTCATCTACTTCTACTGATGGCTGCCAGGGGTGGAGTAGGGGCACAGAGGAAGATGAAGGTAGAAGTCTGCATGAATGGTCTGTTTCCATGGTAACCCCCGAGCGCACCTCTAAAAGCAGTCCTCCATCAACAAATGTCCGTTCTTCTTGGAGCGCTCGAGGGGATGGAGGGGTGCTCGAGGGAGGACAAATGAAGCAGGGAAGCAGGAGGAGGGACTTTAACAGGTTTTCTGGATAATTCCTGGTATCAGAAACAAGTCAGGTCATTACACAGGTTAGCAGCAGAAAGGGCACAAAAAACAGCACGGACCACATGTGATTACATGGTTGGAGCAGAAGGGTGGTTAAAGGTGGTAGAATTTGAGGGTTAATGGAAAGGGAAATGGCAGAATGTGAATTTGTGTTTATCATGTTGGTGCAGTTTGCTGTATGTAAAATACTTGATTCTTTCAATACATGTCTATCTATATAAAGTCATCTCATACAAAAATGTCCATAAATTATATATATATATTTATGTGTTAGCTATTTACAAACAGAACAGAATGTTCTCTCTGTGCCACTGGTTTTTAAAGATACTTGGAAAGGTCGTGCAGCTACACAGTGTCTCAGTCTAAGACTCCTCCAGCGTCACCACAGTTGCAATCGACAACTTGGCTCTGTCTCGGCCTGCAGTTGGGAATTTGGTGTCATTATTTTCTGACTCGTGCCTCCGGACGTGCATGGGTGAGGGGCAATGCTTGGAGGGTGTGCCAGAGTTGTAGGTCACCTGGCCATTCTTCTCGTCTGAAAAAAGTTGTTTAATTACGTCAAAGAAGCTACTCAATGGGCTGCCTAGGCACACAGGAAGAAAAAGAGGACAAAAAGGGAAAAGAGGAGAAAGAGAACAAACAAACTAATGAACAATTCACAGGATAGAGACGTGACTACATGTAAGACGGTGCAGAAGCCAAGGACGAGGACCGACGGACAAAGCAAAGATGAATTCTGCTGAAGCCGCTATGCAGAGACTATGTTTGAGTCATGCATGTCATTGTTCATCCAACCATTAACACAATGTCCAAAAATTAGTTGTACAAAATCAGAGATTAAACCCTTAACTCTAGATGGGGTTTGTGTATACTAATATAATCATGAAAAAAATTTTCAATGTATGTACAAAGTAGCTGTTAAGCATCTCAAAGCAGATGTAGCCAGCCAGAAACAGAACAAAGGAATAAGCAATATGGAATCATGGAATTCCAGTCATAACAGTTTATGCTCCTTCTTAATGCCGGCGTTGCTCTCAGGAACATCATCTGGCACTGCCTGCCCCTGCCCCGTTTTCTCTGACAATAGAACATTCAAAAGCAACTACAAACTTGGTAAAGTTCCACCAAACAAAGTTCCTCACAAGAGCCTCAGTGGTACCAATGCAGGCGAGTGGTAAATGGACCAAAAGTGACAAATGGAGCAAAAACAAAATGATTTTTCCTTTTGTTAATGGTGCACAACTCTGGTACCTATCAATCAAAAAAACTAAAAAGAAAAAAAAGACAGAACCGATTTAAGTCCTATTGATAAATGAACTGTGACAACATCAGTTTAGAAATGGAAAAACAAAGTCCACATATCCTGAACCGCTTTTATCATACGAGCATTAGCATTTACAGGTAAGACTGGTTTGGTTTTTTTTGTTATTTCATAGCCTCTATATATGCTAAAACAAATGTGTAGAATTGTGCCATTTTTAACTGTCGACTTTCCACCTTGAAATTGATTTCATACCAAATCAGCATACCGTTACAAAGGCAAGAAACAGATTTAATTAAATGGCGTACCCTGATTTCTCTGTACTCTACATCTAATCACTTGCCTCATCCTAACAGTTTGTTTCTAACTGTCCATCATTTTCATTTTTATGACTGGCTATTGTCTCCCTCAGCATGTCTCCCAGGTAGGATGTCATTAAAAGTGATTATAGGGGATTGAAATTACTGTTGTTTAACAAACCTTGGTATGCAAAGCATTTTCACTTCATAATTACTGACAGGCTTTTATCTTTGTAGGCCTTGTGGCCGTGCTGCAGTCCATGTGCTGAACAGCAGACACTGATCCGTTTTGAGGTTCATGTCAAAGTATTTGAGGGGGGAAATAGCATGAAGGCATGGATCGAGGTAAAAAGAAACATTTTCTTTTTCATTGAAAATTCCAGCCTTGATGAGAAAGGGTACCCACACTCCGTTTTCTGTGTTTTCTAATTTAGTCAGTTTCTTCTATTGTGCTTTAAGTGGTATCATATTCAACAAAGTGCTATGAACTGTACCCTTACAATGTCATCGGCTACACAGACAAGCCACTGCAGTCATTAAAACATAATCTGGTGTAATTGAACAATAATTTCACCCTCCCCACACCTCAGTCTGATAATGAGCATGGCAATGCGAAGGATCAAAAATAATTGGTAAACTTACTGAGGCAAAGCAATGATAACAGACTGTTAAATGTCATAACAGCTGCCATAGCTGCTGTTAATTCATGAGAGCCCAGTAAGAGTAATAATGCATAAAACCTGAACATGAGCATGAAAAATATGTCACCAAAGTGGATTGCAGCACAAAGACATTGTTTGTTGGAGGTATTCGTAAAGCAATATGCATCTGTCATGTGTTTGCGAATGAGTTAATGAGGTTAAATGTGTAGAAGCTAACATTCTGATACAATTCACACACAGGCTGAAACTCATATTCGAGGGAAATGAGCAATCTCCAGGAAAGTGCCAGCAAAGTGGTATTTCCTTGACAGACCAGCAGATGGAGGTATTACATAGTGGATGGCACTCGGACGCACACACAACAGAGCAGTGACTCACACGAGGGAACAAGCACGATGAGAAGGGAATGACTAGGTTTCCTTTTTCTCTCCTCTTATTCCCTTCATCCTGCAGTCTGTGCATTGGAAGAAAATTATATAGATTCTGTGGGGAATGAACAGGCTTAACCTGTTTAGGGACTAAACTCTGGACATGGTGACGTGGCTTTATCCACATCATCAAGTTACCACTTTACTGGTGATCAAAGCAAATGCCAAAAGAAGCTGGTGTCCAATTGACGACCCAGGTGCTGTCCTATTCAAACGCACAAATAGACATAGACCAATGGAGAAAGATACTGATCAGGTGTGTTTACCGTGGCGCAGTGCATTGTGGTAGTGTGTCAAGGTATAGAGATGTTGCCATGGTGACATACTCCGACATTCAGTCGTGGAAGTAGGAACACTATGTGAGTCAGTGCACCTCTGCTCTAATCCTCAGTGCTGGGGCAACAACACAACATTTGACCCGCAGTTGTCCCTTGAGAGCAACTCCCACCCTTTTCAAGTTAGTAAGGCATCAGCATGCATTGGAAGCCGTTCAGAGAAGCAGAGGGCGGATCGGGGATTTCAAGCACAGTAAAGACAAGGGCATGTTTTAGCTTAGTGTCAGCGGTGAAACTACTTGATCGGGGGGTGGGATGGGAAAATGAGGCGGTAGGGGGAATATATGAAAAAGTATTTGTATATCTAAAATTTTGAAAAACAAGTCATTACTTACCGGACAACTGTTGGACTCCAGGCTGATCATGTGTGCTTAACAACTGGCTCTGAATCGTCTCGACCACTCGCTTAAAGCGACGGCTCGGTCCTGAACACACAGAAACAGGTGATATAAATTTGGGAACAGTGGATTTATTTGCAACAGGAGAGACCCTCAGTTGTCACGGCAGGAAATTCATGAAGGCTTCGTTCGTCTGTTTCCACCGAATCATCAAAGTGAACTCCCCAAAAATGTGTGCTCATTTTCATTGAAATGCACAGTCAGCAGCTTGGAAACAGCCACACTGACAGAGTATACATGAATGGAATCATCTAGAGAGGAAACCTTGAAATGAGGAGAAATGACATCGGTCGGTACACAAAGTGCAGACCTGGCTGGAAACTGACGAAATTGTTTGTTAACTGACTTTAAGAACGGCTCACTGTTAGAAATGGATTAGCCTATGGGGTAAACTATTCAGTGCCGTTCGGTGTCGGGGTAAGAGACTCAGGGATGAATACTGTCAAAGAGTTCCCAAAAAGAAGTGGAAAGGCATTGTGTATGTTTGTGTGCATTTGTGTATACGCGCACATGTGTGAGACGGGCAGACAGAAGAGAGTGAAGGAAAGCATGGATGTGTTTCTGCACAACTAAGCATTCACACATGATTGCTTAGTATGTAATCTTGCATAGCCAGACCTGGTTTTGTTACGCTCAGGGAGGTTTGAGGAAAATCTTATCAGGCACTCGGAAATGCAAGAAATTTGAGAAATTCTCAGGCAGCCGTTTATTCTGGCAGCAAGTTTGTAAAACACCCACATCTGAGAGGATCACTTCAGGTTTATCTGTTGGGTATAAACCTTGCATTCTTCTAAACATGCAAGGCACAGCTTTACATATTTTATTAATATTTTAAATGTAAATAAATATTTAACATTCAATATTTGAATGTTTAACTTTAGATGTTTTAATTTATATTTAAATTGTATAAATTTTTTATTCAAGGGATGTTGGAAATTGGAAGTTGAGCTCAATGAAATGGAAAACCATATTTTCAAAAATAGATCAAACCATATGGAAGACTATCCTGGATGTTATGGGTTTTAAACAAAATAAAATAAATAAATAAATAAATAAAAATGAATATAAATTGGGGTTGTTTTGGACAAAACTCACATTTCATGTTTCATCAGATCGACCCCATTTTCTTCATCGACTTTTCTCTCTGTGCACAGTTGGAGTCTCCTAGATGTTCCAACTGTGCAAACACGTGTATGCTAGGTAAACTAGAGAACTGATGTGAATGTTATTGCTGATGTAGTGGTGTGTTTATGGGCCCTTTGGCAGTAATAAAAACACCCAAAACAAACCAAAAATGTGACCATGTGTGCTGAAATGAACACAGCTAGTTGTGAGCAGGCTTCAGGTGCTGAAGCATTCTGACCTGAGAGCAGGGTGAAGGTGACTGAGTAGATGCCATTCTCTTTTGTGGCTGCTGTGCTCTCCGTGTAGGTGATATCCACCTGAAATTTGACTGGCTTTTGGAAGACAGTGGGGCCGGCTGTGGATTTGTACTCTGCTCGGAAACTGGTTTGAGAGATGACACTGTGGCTCAGGCTGGGAATCTAGGATGGAAGGTGGAGATAAGAAGAGAAAAGGGAGGTACAAAAAAAAAACGCATGTAATGAGATTATGTATAAGTATCAATGATATCAATTTTTTTCCCTCATACACCTATAACAGGGTGAATGAACCCTCATTAGAATACCCGCCACATAGTATGAACCACAGTTGAGACTCTAAGAAGATTAATGCCTCAGGGAGTAGCCATGCGTGCCACAGAGACTTAAGCTAATGTAATCTTGAGTCATCCAACAACACTGCACTCTCCCACCTAAAATGAATTTGTATGCCCAATGAACAGGTGAGCCTTGAAATTGTCACGTTTTGCCAAAGTGCTGGAGAGGGTTTGACATTCCATTAATGCAAGTGTGCTCAGAGGTATGATTCCTCTGATTCAGGTGCCAATCTCCTGTCTGGAACACCAGCTTGCATAACCCAGAAGAGAAAATAGCTGCCTTCGGGGAAGTGGAAACAGATTTGACATTGACCTGCACCGGCAGAGTTCGCATTTACCTTAACTTTGTTGAATCTAACTGGGGTGAGGACAGGTTCTTTTCAATTATGCACTGTGAATATCAACTACCACTGCCGAACGTTTGTTGATACTGTGTGTGTTGTGTTCATTGATGTAACCGTAGCTACATCCGTAGCTTCACATACACACAAACAGATGCAATCTAGCCTATATCTCAGCTTCTCACATTGCACAGCTAAATATATGAACACACACACTAAAAAAATCACAGTATTGAGGGCAAGGCATCTAAATGCTAATGATCCCTGCTCTGTGCCGATTTTTTCTATTGACCTCTGGTGAGTCAACAGTCAAAGAGAAAACAAAAGCACAGAACACAAGGAGTTTACTGAATTGCTACATAAATCAGGAAGATGTTAGGAAGCACTAAGATAACTGAGCATCCATATGGAGACAGGTTTTGCACTGTAACAAAGAGGTCGAAAACAGGAAAAACTGGGTTTTGGGTCAAAAGAAAATTGGAAAAAGAAGAGAATGAAGCCAAAAGTGTCATACATACCGAAAGGAAGGCTTGAACAATGTCTGCCTTGATAGAGCTGAGTGGTTTGTCTTTGATAACAATAAAGATCTGCTCCTCTTTTTCCAGGTTGATGAAGTTACCAAACCAGGATTTTTTGGCAAGTCTAAAGGGAAAGACAAGAAAAAAATACATTTGCCATATTTAGAGAACCCATATATCTATCATCCATCCAGTCCCGAGAAATGATGAACAGGTTAAGAGAGCCTCAGCGACAAGTTCCAAAAACAATTGAGTGAAATGACCTAGAAGCTTGCAGAGTCCATCCTCTAATTTTTTTTCTTCCAAAATTCAATTTGTGACCAGAAGCTGTCATATTATTCATTGCAATCTGGATTCCTTTTTTTTTTATAGTTATCAAAGCTGCATGTGCAAACATGGAATGGGAGCAGATCCCACCTGGGCAGAGACCAGTAATTTCAGGTTATTCACAGATTCCACTAAAAAGAGTCAACACTTTGCAAAATATCATCTCTCAATCTGATAATCCTAGCACGGAGGCATGTGTCCTTCAGAGTAGTAAGGGTTGGAATTTTCTTTTAAGAAGTTTTTTTTTCATCAAAGAAAAATGTAATCGGTCAAAGTCGGACATCTTGACTTATTGAATATTGCATCTCGAGATATTAAATTAAATGTAATTGATAAAATCTATGCATTGATATGTGTATGCTGTCCAGAAAAGTGTGCATGCAACATGTGTGCCTATTGGCATCTTCACACTAGCTGTCCTCCAGCTTTCTACTCATATAACCCACAACCTCCTTCAGAAATAACGCATCTCTAACCCAGACAAGACCTGAGATCATTAGATGGAACTCAGCAGGAAGAAAAAAATCAAACATTTATGGATGGTTCACTTTCCAAAACATTGTGCTATCAAGAGCAAGCCTGTTTGAGGCAGACTGAATGGCTGACAGGTGATGCATACTTATACAGCCGTATATAATAGCAGTGCCATCAAACACTATATACTCACTCTGGGGAAGACTCTGGTGTGAGGCTGGACATCTCCTCCTGTGTAGGAACTGTGGAGGCAAAGTGTGTTGGGTATATGTGAAAGATTCAGACACAAGAATGCATAGAATTATGTAGTGTTCCCATATGAATCTTAGATCAGTCAGGGTGTCGGTACCCTGGAGTTTCCTGCGGTGGAAGCGGGGTGAGCCCAGGAAGCTGTTCTTGATGGAGTTGAGGCGTGTTCTCCAAGGCATGCCTCCGATGGACGGGCTTGGCGGCGGTGTTGGCGTGGGGGTGCCGGCGGGGCTGTCCTTGGGTGTGTGCACCGGAGTGCCCTTTGGGGTTGGGAGGGGGCTGCCTCGAGGAGAGGGGTGAGGGGTAACCTGTATGAGGGGGATAGATTTGGGCGGGTGGTCAGTAAACGGGGAGGGAGCTGGGGCTACGGGGTGAAAGTGGTGCAGCCGGATGGGAGAGAGGGGCACCGCGGGGCTGAAGGGCACAGAGAGCTGGGGGTTGGCGCTGTAATGAGAGCGCCGCACCTGGGGGCTGTTGGGGATGGAAGGACTGGTGATGGATGAGGGGGAAAACGGGGATGGGGAGGATGGAGATGTTGGAGTAGGAGGCACAGAGGCAGAGGGGGGCTGCGATGGAGGCTGGCAGGGAGTGGAGGGCTCTGATTTGGCTACGCTTTCTGGATCGGGTACGGTTTCAGGCAGAGGGTTCGATCGCGTGGCTTGGAGAGGCTTCGGAGCAACTTTGGGCTTGGCGGGGAGTGTCTGTGTCTTGTTGAGCGCCTCAGGTAAGGGTTCGCTGTTCGGGGCCAACGAGTTGGGCGTGGAGATACGGGGGCCTGTGCGATTTGGAAAAGGTTCAGGGGATGGGCAGGGACTGGAGTTTGGGGACTGGCAAAAGTCCGGAGACTGAGGTGGAACACAGAATTTTCTGACAGGCTGAATTACAAACATGCAAGGAGGCACAGTACGGTAAAAACCAAGTGGACAAGCAGGTGGAGGATGGGAACATAAACAAACCGAGTGCAGATACATGCACACAAAGAAGGAAAAAGCCAGGAAAAAAGCAGCAGGGAAAATAAAAGCACAGGCAAAAGGCAGAAGCAACAAAAGAATAAGGGAACAGAAGGGGAAAAATACACACAGAGGAAAGATGGAGGGAAAAAAGATAAGAATGTCAAAAAAAGGAGACAAGCAAAAAAGTAATCACAACTTAAACGATTCATATCAAACCAAGACAAAATAACACTGAAATGGGGAAAAAACAATGACAGCAAGCAGTGTGCACAGAAGTAAAAGGCCAAAATTATGCATGAAAAGATGGACCCTACTTCCATTAAACATAAAAGGACCTCACAGCAGAGAAAAGTAAGCAAACACAGATATATGTGAAGATTATCAGGACAGACTCAGTCACGAGTTATTCTGGCTGCCTCACCGGTCGACCCATCCATTTAGCTTTGAACTGGAAAATTAGAATTACAGCCTTTTACTGCTCGTCTAAAACGCCAGCAGATTTCCGAGCCCAGTCAGAGAAACAACCCCATACAGAGCCCCCCGCAGAGAGCACGATCTAGACTTTGAGTACGTTTAAGAAATCAATTTCCTTTTCAGATCAGCAAGAAAGAGCCTGGTGTGGTGTGAGGGGCTCGTCCTCAGATCCGGGCTAATCTGGAGCCTTCTCAGGTTAGTCATCTGGAAAGTTTACTGCATGCTTCCCGGCTCTGAGCAAGGAAAGTGGGATTTTCTAAAGCATCCCCTGAGCTGCATTTCCATAGAGCTCAGGCCACAGAGAACAGAGGGAGGGATAATAATTGGGGCGTTGTGACTGTATGGAAAAGTGCTTTCAAGGACGGAGAAAGTTTGATGCGCATCCACACCACCAGTGTTTGTATCATTAGACTTATGATTGGGATGTGAAAAACCATCTAAACAGCATGGAAAGAAAAACAAGTAATGTAATCTATGGAACACTCAGGTAATCCTACCTTGTAATCATACTATTGGCAGATTAAGTGGAAAGGTGCTCTGTTATTTACGTGGATACACTTTTTAAAAATGTTCTCTTACAAAAAAAGCCAAAAGATGGGAATAGTAGTAGATCGATGGTCATTAGCCAGTGTGACTGTGTTATATAGTGTGTGAGTGAGAGTGTCTGAGCTCCATGACTTACCCGCGGGCTGCTGAGGGGGCTGGTGGAAAGGCCAGAGGAGGCTCCACTAATAGATCGCGACCTGTGGCACAAACACGTGACAACACACAAAGGGGCAGAAGTGATTTACAGGATCAGCCTGCATCTTGTTCCGTGTTTCAGTAACCACTGGTAAGGGTGAGGATTTGGTTACATGTTGTGTGTTGTTAGAAAGCAAAGCAGCCATACCTCTTTGAGCATTGACCGTTCACACCCTTTGCAAACACAAAAGCTGTTCACACAAAGATGGTGAAAGCACTACAACACAGACACAGCACAAATCTATAGGCAGCATTCCACAGATTACCTTTCAGACTAGCTCTTTCTCACTCTACAGTTTTTTAATAAATCAAAATTGTTCTAGTTTTTATGTCCATAGGGCAAGGAAATATCTTTAGAGTGAGAATAAAAAGGAACATTTGGTTGACTGCCATTTGTCATGTTTGTCTTTTCCCTCACAGATGCCGTCAATAACCCCAATGAGCAGAGTCCTGCTCAGAAATGAACAATCACAGTGCAATCTGTCTCCATCAAGCTCACACATGTACACACACAAACACAAAAACAGCGCCTGTCAACACTTGGAAACACCAGCTGCTCACTGTCACAACATGGCTCATTTTTGTCATTCAGTCTAATAATACCCCCTCCTCCTTCAAGTCATCTCTTTCTGCCTCTCAGCCCTGATGCATTTGTGATCAAATCCTCTATTTTCCTCTGAAAATATGTGAACTTTTCTAAAAACTTTAAACTTTCTATCTTCTATTATATCTTATTATACTAGCACATCTCATTCCACTTACAACCACTCCTAAACAAGGGAGTGAGGCTATTCCTGGAATCTTAGAATGACAGACAAGAATATAAGAGAGGAAGCGGCACTAACAACCACTAAGAGAGAGAGGAACATTTAGGAACATCCACAGGCAAGTTATTTTTGCAAATCCCCACTCTCCACTGAATGAGTGTGTTTTTTTATCACATTCATTCATACACGAGTAGTCGATGCTCGTATGATGACCATAAGAGCTAGATTTCTCATTTCACCCAGCAGCTGACCAGACAGTTGCTATCATTTACATTTAGGTCCCACAATCCACTGAGACTAGGATATAGTTGCTCGCTACAACAGTTGTACACTTAATCTGAGCATGGCCAAAACATCCATCCATTATGAGCATATTGTCAGAGGCAGTCTGCATCTGCTACTGTTGGACCACAGCTCTATGAAGCTTAGGTTACAGATGGTAATGCTGTACAGTAATGGGCTGTCAGTGGACCAACACAGCTTCAGATTGGCAAAGAATTATTGCTGTTGAATGGTTAATTTAAAGTGAACGGCACAGAGAACATGGGAATCATTTGTCATGTATCAGAAACCAAGACAACACATCATTAAATCTGGGCTAGAGAGGAAGTTGGAGCTACAGAAATATCCCGTAAGTATGTATGCTTGTATTACAACAGATGACTGGAAAAGATGGGTATACTAACCGAGTAATCAATCTGAGAGAATCTGAAGTTTACAAACCCTCATAACATCAATTATTTTCCGCTATAGTTTGATTTATATTCATTCTACAAAAGTATTTCTGAAATGAGCTGTAAAAAGCAATAAACCCAAAATATATATGAATTAGTATAAAGAAACAATTCTTTGGTTGTGATCAAGACAGACTAAAAATGTCTGGAAACAGTTGACAGTTTAGCCCAGGAAAGACAGTGATGCCATTAGTAATTCTACCCGAAATAAATACCAATAGGTAAAATAAACAGCAAATGCAGAGTACAAAAAGAAAAATGTAGAGCAGGGTGCCGTTAAGGAATCCACTTTTTCCATGTTGCTATCTGTATCTGTAAAAGATGTCCATCAGTCATATAAAATTAAGTTTTCTTTTAAAATTCATGTACTCTGTCCACATGTTTATTATTACCTCAATTTCTACCACAGTTTTGTCTGAATTCCAGCATCTTAAGTCTGGATGACTTTGACAAACCTGGTCAGATAAAAAAAAAAGAAAATTATTTTATCTGTTTGTTTGTTTCCCCCCCCCCAAAATCAGACTACCCATCACAGTGTGCCCAGAACCCATCACTTAATTACTATAAGCCTGTTTTGGAACGTGCCCCATGTTCTCATGTGAGACTCGTCCAAAGCACCTGTGGGGTACTAATGTTGGGCTGTGGGAGATGGAACAAGTACAGCACATTCACAGATGAGGGCATGGACTGAAATAAAACAAAACTGAAGCAAAAAAAGATAGTCCTGCCAGGATTCAAACAGCAACAGAACTTATGCCAAAAACACATTGCTGCTGTTCTGCCACTGTGGTTTAAAGTCGAGCTGAAAAAGTTCAGCTTTCCAATCCACCTCTCTATCTTTGTCACTGACCATCCCACGACTGGGGTTGCTCCACATGAGCAGACATTAGGATAAGTCAGCAAACGGTTTAAATAATGGTCTGAAAACCCCCTGAGCTCCTCAGGTTTCTAAATGAAGTTGGATCCCTGCGGTTTTTTGCAGTTGAGATTCCTGTTTAATGTGTTTTACTTGTGCTTATTTCACCTTTTTAAATAAATGAATGTCAACAAATAACAGGTTAGCCAAACTTATTGTGGCTGTTCTGACTCCTCTACATTCAAACTGCATGTGGAAACTAGAGCAGATCTTTAAAAAAGAAAAAAAAGATTTGCTTCTTCACACTGCAGTACTTTTCTATATTTCATTTACATATCATTACCCTCCCTTCATTTCTTCGTGTATGTTGTTAAGATTCAAAATTAAATCAGCAGGATATCGAGTGCTTTGAGTTTAATTTTAAATGTACTTCTTAAAATTTACTTGGCCATATAACGGACAGAAAAATAATTCTCATGGGGATACTTCCATGTGTTTTAGTGTGCAACACAGCCAGTGTGGCATTTATCACGGCTATTCAATTATACTTCACAGGAGAGGCTAAATCACATCCAAAAGGATTGTAGCAGCCTACATTTGACATGTGAGACGATAAAAGACTTGATGAGGACTAAAGTATAGACACTGGAGTTATGTTATTCAGAAGAAGGTTCCCCTTCATTTCAGTTTTCATGCTAATTTACATTTTCCAGTCGAAGCACGTGTTCCTGAATCGGTCCTCTTTCTAACGCCATAAAATACATACTGTTAGAAAGATAGTTTGCTGTCAAGGGAAAGTAAGGTTAAGATCAGAGAAAGTCTGTCCAATATTTGGACATTGTTCTGCTCTGCATGAGCTACTTTCACACCTCCATCTATGCAGGCACACACACGATCAAATAAAGCATCCACATGTGTGTGATCACAGAGAAATAACAGAACTTTTTAAAGAAAAAGAGGACAAAACTCCTAAAATCAGATTAATACAGACTTGTACTAACATGTACCAGCATCCTTCAAATCAGCAAGAGTCTTGAATTGAGGTGAAAAATAAGAGACATAAAGCTTGGGTGATATTTGATTTGGATGGAGGGTGGCTGTGGTATTGGAACCCCCTCTAATGATTTGGAGGCAGACTTTATGGGAGCAGCTGATGGGAGGCCACATGATGTAACACTAGCGGCACTTCCACATTTGCATTGCAATTCCTGACAAACAGCTGGGGTGTATTGGAGGGAAGGTCAGCAGGACACAACACAAGGACCACAGGAGACTTTGACAAAAGTACTATGAAAGTACTAGCAAAAACTAAAAGCTAGGCTCAAGTAGAGTTGCATTAGAAGAAAGATGCAGACACACCATTTTGGCACTGCTGTTAAACAAAACAAGTAAATGCAAACAGTTTTTATATACTTATTTCTCAGTTAAAGGAATGATTTTATTCATAATTAAAAATGGTATACATATAAATATATATTTGATATATATTTTAGGCATGACTGAAATGACTGCACTAACTCAACCTTTAAATAAGAACACAATTAGTCTTGGATCGCCTGAAGGAATGGAGCAGAGAAAAGGCTTTGAAAAGGGAGAATGCAGACACACCAGAGGATGGGCAGAATAAAACCAAACTATTTATGTGTAAGAGGTTTTGAAATGGATTTAAATTCTCTAAAGTGATCCCAATCCGTGACATATAGTGGTGAAATTCTTGATGTGAAGTCAAAACTCTGTTTTGACAGTTATCAATCTTAAATCTGGCATTAAAAACTGAATATTTAACCTTATTTCATTTTTATATATATATGTATGTATGTATCTTTTATGAACTACCTGCCTCTGCATTTGTGAACTATACCACAGCTATTTCCAGCACTCTGCCGAACTGCCTATCAATAGGCACATCACCCGCTCAGATTCAATCTTCCCTTCTGTCACAAATGTCACTGCCCCTAAGCAGAAATATGTGGTGTGATGATACATTGGTTGTTGAAATAAGATGAGGAAAAGGATTTTAAATCAGTGCGCTGTGCCTTGTGGGGATGTATTTCTGGCATGATTCGAGCATTTCTAAAATAGAAAAATGGAGAAATATTCTGTAACTAGAGAAAGTGGGACACAGTATGGGAGAACTGATTATAAATGCATTCAGCTTATGAGAGGAAGGGATAATTGAGCTAATGCTGGAACAAGTGGGGATGTTGATATTAAGTCTCTGGATGGCAAATTTGCAGTCCTCTCCAGTTTCAGAATTCAACTAATTAACGGACTATAGTTAAACTTTCAGAATACATCATAAAAACATTAGATGAGTTACAGATGCTTAAAATAGACGTTTTACGTCATCGAATGCCACATATGTCAACATCATTTCACAGCAAGAGGAGTCACTCAGCAGAACACACTGCTGCATCTTTTTCCTGTTTTGCAGAGGGGTGGGGGGGGGGGGGGGGGGGGGGTTGTGGGACATGTAGCGAGAAATGGGGGTGAAAGTGGCAGGAGGAAGTTGCACATGAATACCTTTCTTCTTTGCTGCATTTTGTTCTGGCGTCAGGAATATCCAAGCTTTTACTGTACACTGATTTACTACAGTGAGACAGAAGACAAAGTGAGCAGAGAGTCAGTCTCTGTTTACGTTTGTCCACAATGAAGTCTGCTGACACTAGACCCAGACTCTCTGTCAGAGCAGTTGAAACACCACCGGGGCTGAAAGATCCTCCACATTTACACACACACACTCACACTCGTACATAGCTAAATCCATTGTTATTTGTTCATTCATAAATGTATTGATTTTTTTATTCATTCCTGACTCCATTTAGACTCTACCTTTGTCCATGCTGTGTCATGTCGATAGCCCTCCTGGCTGGGACAGGTGATCCTCCATCTGTAACACTGAGGACCTCCATGGACTTCCTCTCTGGTCTCCTTTTGCCATGACGGTTCAACATGGGAGAGTCCACCCGCTTCCTTGGAGGGTCTTTGTCAAAGAGTAAAACATCAATTTTGAATAAACACAAAGGGCCTGACAAGCCCACATGTTGTTTGTGTGTATTTCTACGTATTGAACAGTTTTGTGTGCTACATGTACGTGTAGGAGAGTTTGACTGATGTTAAGCACCGATCACATTGACGTCCTGACTAATAGAGAATAAGTAACAGTTTCCTCTCAGACCTTGAACTAATGCCCACTGTATTGACTTTATCACATTCGCTGAAGGAGTAATCTATTAATCAACATGTCTAAAATCAGACGCACACACATATTTGTCCATAATACCCGTACGGCTGGAATGTTCATGTCAGAAAAGGAAACCTGGCTGCGGTCTAGGTGGATTGTGTCGGCAAGTGATAACTTTTTTATTAATTTATTTGAGCCTGTATACAATGTATACGACCAGCAGGAAACTGATCTGTTAACTGAACCACAGATAAACAACAGGAAGCATTGATGATTGGCCTTCTGTTAGTTTTATATATATTCTAAATCTATAAAGGTTATTCTCATTTTTTATAGTTACACTTAGGTTGTGTTCATAGACTCTTCAGCTCTTCCATTTTTATGTACAGAAACAGTGGATTCAGCCAAGACAGCATGAGTGCTAACCTTGCTTGTATTATTTCTTACTTGACTGTCCCAACATATACAGTCACAAATTGACTATATTCAATACAGCAGTTGTTGGGGAAACATCGAGGATGAGATTTGCTGAAGAACCGAGTGAGCAGTGTATAAAGGACAAAAATCTCTTTTGAGATCTCTTCTTATCTTATTTTGTGTTGTATGCACCCTCTTCTAATGACAAAACCCAGATTGTATGGTTTTTAACAGTAAACTGATGTGACCATTGTATCCTTTGTCTTTCCATTTTTTCCCGAACATTTGATTTTTTTTTTTTTTATTCTTTGCATTTTATTTCAGGCTCACCAATCTCATTGCGAGGAGGGAGATTCTGGTCTTCTTGACTGGGGTACCTCTCCTTCCGATCCAGTAACAAGAAGTAGATCATTTTCTCTTGGTTCTCACTAGGAATTGATAATGAAAAAGCATAAATCATCTATATGATCATAGCGATTTGCATAAATACGTTTAAATCTATATCACATACATCTTAAATATGTGACATTAAAACAAATATCTTCATATTATGATAGATTCCTCTTAATGTTTTTGTGCGCACAAAGAAGCAGATTATAAATCGCTTGCATCTTTGAAACAAAAGTTCAGAGTTACAGATCATTAAGCAATTGCATAGCGTCATGCATATTTCTTTAGAAAACAGCACCCCCTGTATAAAGAGCCCGCTGGTAAGTATCAAGTCGAACGAAAGCAACAAAACTTTATGATCATGACCTTTCCTTCCTCTGCGAATCAGGAAACATAATATCTTTAGCCTCTATGCAACATTCTGTATGCAAAACGCCCAGGAACTGGCCCTCTATAATAAAGACAGATGGGAAAGCAGTAGGAGGCAACAAGACAAGGACCTGCAACTTCAGCTAAAATGAACTCGAGATTGAGACCACAGATTCTTTTTCTCCCATGCAGCACTATGCTCTTAAATCGTCTCAGGAGAGAAGCAGGAAATGGGGAAAACGGCTAGAGGGCACAGTGACAGAGCCATGCTTGTTTAGCATTTAATGAGAAAGCCTGGGCTAAATTATTTTAAAAAGTCATCTAAGCAACAAAGTCTGAAGGGTAAGCATCTCCAGCATTAATGGATATAGAAAAGGAAAGAAAAAAGAAACATCTATCAGAGAGAGACAAATACGAGCAGCAGAACACAACAAAATGGGACCTACAAGAATGTTCCTAATACAAGCCAAGGAAAGGTTTGGGGAGAACCTATCCAGTGGCAAGCTGTATGAGCGCAGTGTGATAACAGTGAAAAGATCTATGGCTTCGGACATCAAAACAGACAGCTTCACAGGCTTTTATTCGAGCTGGGAAAATCCAAGGCTGACTGTAAACACCGGCACTCAAACACAACCCATCCACTTATGGAAGATGCCTCTCTACTGTTATTGTATCTCCCTTCTACAATCAGTGTCTTAAGTTGTATCACTTTTCCCGTTATTTTGCTTTCCTGACTTGCATATTTGAATGGTCTGACTTCCGTTCTTTTTTCTCTTATCCCTCCCTATTGCACGTCCATCCACTCACTCGTCTGATAGCAGATCTTTCAGTAGTTTGTTTTTGTCTCTGAAGCAGCCCAGGGAGTGCATGCTGTCCAGTACGTCTGGATCAATGTCATCTGCAGATGGCAGGCTGCGGATGGTCACCTTCCGGGGCACGGGCTGCTCTGGCTCTGGTTCATTTTTCCCCCCTCTGGGAAAAAAAATAAAATAAATCACAACAAAATTAGTCAAACGGTGAGTCGTCCTGTGACATTTAGTAAGCAGAAAAAAATGTAGAATGTAATAATATAAAATATTTTTGTGTATATTAACTCTTGTGCATTGTATCACATTAATAATAACCTTAAATTATGTTTAAAGACAAGCCCTTCGAAGTCAAATGCTTGGTTCAGTCATTTTTCAGGTGAGTTTCAGAGAGGGAGAAGAAAGCATCATGTCCTCAAAGATGCAGACACACAGACACACAGGCACACAGCAACAATCTGCCTTCTGCTGTGGCTTGTTTTCAGAACATGTTGTTTTAATCATTCCTTCCTTTCCAACCAGCGCTCTTCCTGACACCCTTTCTGAGTCTCTGTCTGTGTCTGGCTGCTTCCAGGGGGTACACGCGCAGGCCTTAAACCGAAACTCTAGATAATCTATCGTAAAAGAACAAATGCATCATCCATCTCTACACATGTGCCAATACACACAGACTGGGATATTTAAACAGATTTGACTCAATATGCTCCTCATTATTTCACTGCCTGACTGTATTATTTTTCTTTTGCTGAGCTCAGTGAAGCATGAACCCCATCAACAGAAATCAGAAAACAACAAATCTCCTGTTATCTACGCATGTAATGTGCACTCATGACCAAGAACTTTGGTGATGCCTTTACCCTGAGTAACTCCAAACCTAACTTTCCCCCTCTGTGATAAAAAAAACATTCTGCTGACCATTCAGTGATAAATCAAGCTTTCGTAGTAGTCCCTTTTTGCAAGATTCAGCCTTTTATTGTCATTAGTTGTTCTGTTCTCAGACAACAGAAATCAAACCAAACTCACTCCAAACATTCTCTTATGAATAGAAAAAATATCCAAAAGGAGAGTGAATGTGCTTTCTAGTAAGAATAGCGTATTGAAATCATGGTACACCATATTTATTAGTCAAGGTTTGATATACTTAACGGTCAATGCTTGTCTGATAATGACAGTATAGATGTTACTTTGCCCTTGCTCTTTTGAATTTGTCTGAAAGGTTTCCTGAACAGAGAAAAGTTCCCTCAGGGAAGCGAGTACACTCATCAAACATTCCTTTTCATTCATTCATTCATTCATTTGTTCATTCATTCCAGCAGGCAGATGACAAGCCACCCTGCTGTGCAGAGACAGTCAGGCAAGCAACCTCTCCGCTGACAAAACTCATACTACATTAGTCTCCTCTCCCAGCTCCTGTCTCCTCCTGTTTCTTTTATCATTCTTGCTGCCTGCTTGGATGATCTTTCAGTTCAGGACAGAAACCATAACTCAGTCCAGGACTCACACTTTGCTCTCATAATTTATCTCTGGCATCGCACTGCAATTCACATTTATCTTTAAGGGAAATGTGTCCAAAAGAATCATCTAAAAATTATGAAAACTTTAGCTTTTGGTGCTTATTACAATTAACGCAGATAAAAACAAACTGTAAACAGTTTAATGAATGCATAATCTTTATAGCAGGTTGTTCAGGGTATTTCAGACATGAAAGCTAACCTTCGAACATCCCCCTGCTGAAGAGAAGGATGCCATAAATCCCTCAAATCTTCTATTTCTATTTGCTTGAAAAGGTTGTAAATTTTACATGACGGACACCCTGACGTCAGCTGGTTTCATTATTCCCTTGTCTTTTCATCTGGTCCTCTTGCTGTCACCTCACCACATGCTTCATTTCATCTCTCACGCACTACCAATTTACCCACACATCCCCTTCTCTTGTGTATATGGCTGAAGCTCAAAGTCATTTTTCACACAGCAGCTTCCTCCTGTGCAAACTATGCAGGACTTAAATGAAATACAAGAGTGGGGGTGCACAAAGGTGGAAAAGACAGATGAGTACTTACATGTACCATGTGTGCTTCTGGATCTGTTCTAACTGTAAGAGACACAAAAGTAAAACAGATCAGTACACAAACAGTTGCTCCCTTGCAATGAATTCTGATTGTCTTCAAACAAAAATAATTGTAGTCAACAAAATCTTTAGGGAGAGATATGACTGCAAAGATTACATTTCTGTGCACAAAAAAATAATTGGTTATGTTGTACCAATTATTCAGTAAGTTCTGATCATACCAGCTTAAAGGAACCAAAACAGGAAAAAAACATACAGACAGCTTCAACAGTTGGAGCAAATAATGAGGCCCTCGAATATTAACACCACCTTGGGGAGAAAAGTGTATTGACAAAAAGAAAGACAGACACGAGTGCAGCACTAGTATGAGGTAGGTGACATTACCGAGGTCAAAACAGAATATAATCTCTCTCACACTCACTGCTGACCCTGCCAAGCCGCTTGGTCTGAAGGGAATCTCCTATTCTAACTCTCCTCCAATCACTCTTACTCACACACACTCGCTCTCAATGCTGCTCTTGTGTCATTACACTTCTAATGTGGCCACTTTGTCACCAACGCTGCCAACATGGTCTTTTGCCAATAACATAAGCACAGAAAGAGACAAAAAGTGAGTCAAAGGCAACAATAGATGCATCTACAACAATGACTCTAATGACTTTACACGTTGTTGGGGATTTCTAATTTGCTCATGTTACTGTTGATCGTCAGTACATCAGTGCATTGATGTTTACACCGTCCCAGAGGATTCACGTCTCTCCGACAGCATCGATGGATGCCTTCATGTAATATTAGTGCAATAACAGAAGCAGGCAGACTGTGATAACTGACAACAGGTGAATCGTGCTTTGGGCTGCAGAGGTCATAGTATTGACAGAAGCACCTTAGCTGTCAGATCCAGGCCAGAGGGTGACCAACACTCTCTGCCTTTTGTTTGAGGCCTCCAGGCAGAACACTCGAATCACAAGTATGCTTGAAAGTGATGTCCTTTAAAACCAGATTCTCAGAGCAAACAGCTGGGCCAAAATTATCTTCAGCCTTTCAAAAGGAATGGAAACGGTGCTGTGGACTGGGAATAGGGGTGTGTATCGGTGTAGATTTTTCATTCCCAAAGTGGTAATATCAGCCAACCAAGTACATGCATTTTTAAACACAGTTTCCAGAAGCAGAACCTACAAATATGACCAACAAGTAACTGTTGAAAATGAACTGAAAATCAGCAGAAAATCAGCTAAATTGAAACAGGGAGGTGTGCTGACAAGTTGAACAGTCAGAGAAGAGCAGACATAACATTTGAATTACTTCAGTTGACAAACTTCATGTCACAAAAAAGGTGGGCCTGAGTTGAATACTAACTGACATTCATGAAGGCACAAGAAAAGCCCCCTTTCCTACACTTTCATGCAAGCAACCTTGAAACTATCTGCTCCATTCCTCTGGGAGTTTTATCAGTGTGTGATAAAATAGTCTTTTAATGTAATGAGCTTGCCAAACCTCTTTGTCAGGCAGATATCACAAGGAGACAGATCTTTACAGGGTGTCCGTGTTCATTTTAATAGTGAGGAAGGGATGATTGTGTTGATGTGGCAGGCCCAGTTGCCTTTAAAGCCACAACTACAGAGACAGGAAATGAAGAGAAAATCTGGCATTGGCCCCTTAAGCTTGGGAATGTGCCCTCCCACCAAGACACTTTATTTGGATGTACTTATTGCAATGTTGCTAGTAGTTAGCAAAAGTTTACAAAAAAACAAAGCGAAACATGGAAAATATATAACAGCTTGTTAAAGTACATCAAAATATTCTTAACAGAATTGTGAAAATATCCTAAAAAACTTTCTAAAAATAATGTCCCCATGCATTTTCATTGCTGCCCTTGACTGGGCGGTCATCACTAAACAAGCATGTTCAAACTAAGTTACTATTTGACATTCTGCGAGGTTACAACACATCCCCAGAGGTCTGTTTGGAGTCCTCATGCAAAAGAGGGAAGCCGACAGGTAGCATATTCTCTCCTAACAGCTTGGTCTGTGTGTAACCCTTTTCGAGGACAGAACTGGTGCCTGGTGGGCATATCTAGGGATCTCAGGGTGACCTGCCCTCGTCAGGCGGTGAGAGCAGAAGAATACAGCACGCTGTGTGCATACAGCATAATAAAAAGGTGTGATCTTTCCAGCTCATTCTGCTTATCTAAAGCAGTCTAACATAACATTAGTCTGATTTCAAATGAATATAATTTTCTTGGCAGCTTTCTGATCCTTTTCAGAATTCATTTGCATTTAAATATTTCTATCTGGGTCTCTCAAATCTCGGTTGCTTTAATGTCCATCGTTGTAATATTGTGTTGTGGAAGATAAGCCAAGGCATGTGGAAATTGAGCAGCAACAGTCACCAACAGTGGTGTCTCCCACACTCCCTCCCAGGAAAGCAAGTGAGAACAGTTGGACTGATTCACAGAGATACCTGGAGTGCTGAGAGAAAAGAGTGTGTGTGGCTTGTATACAGGAAGCAGTTCTATCCTTAAGTTACCCAATGCATCTAAGGATGAAATCAAACAATACTGGCAACGACGCAAATTCATTTCCAGCTCATTGAAGGCCGAAAGAAAAACAAAACAAACAACAAAAGACAATGGCTGGCCTTTCTTTGAGCCTTTTTATCTCTGAAGTTTTAAAACCTACCTGATCTGAATAAGAAAAATTGTCATCTTCATAGATTGCAAAAGTATGTACTTTCCCTAAAATGTTTTTTAAACTGTATCAAAATGTCATTTCCATATTTGATGTGGACCATCGATAGGTGATTGCTACTTGGGAGAAAGTTTTTCCAAGTATTTTGGATTCTTCCGTGGATTGTTTTTATTGATTCGTGTCAATTAATGTTATCTCCCACTCGCTCACTGTTCAACAAGTCCTGATTACTGCTCATACTGTTGATAAGAATCTGTGTGCATACAGTCTCACTGCAGAAAGAATTTGTCCCCATCTTGACGGTATTGATCGATGGCTGCGGGACTCAACATTTCTCCCATAAATTCATGGGAAGTTATTTGCAGAGTTAATATGGGATGCCAGATACAGTCGTTTCATAGATTGGTACCCTATGCATAATTTTATTATTTCAAATTTGAGGAATGCATTATATGTGATTGTGTATTGCTACAGTTTATTGCAAAAAAGTTTAGTTTAGTAAATGCTGAGCTGCTGTTTACTGATGTAATCGCCTGAAATTATCTGGGAAGATTTTTGACAAAATGAGAGGACATTTTGTACTCGGCATTGCTCTCAGGGTGTCTTTTGTAAGTATAGATCTTGAATTCTAATTTCATGATCGGGTGTTAAGTGTTTTAGTTCAATTTGACTCATTATGTCCAAATAAATCAGTCCACTCACAGTTGAAAAAAGAAATCTTACTGATTATCAAAATTATCAGTTTAATTAACTCTAAAACCCACTGCAATTGATTGAATAAATATAAAGTGTTAAATTATGTTTAACTGAATAAAATTGACCAAAACAGCGGGTGGGGAGTATGTGGGCATAAGGTTAATCAATAAACAGATGTTCGTTTTAGCATTGCAATTAAATGAAGGTCCATCATTTGATTTCTTTCCCCTATTCCAAATCTTCTCATTTTATTCATATCCAAATAATCTTTTCAAAAGTTAAATAAAACACCTTATCAAGCAAAAATGGTAACAGATTAAGGACGAACATCAATCCTAAAGTGACGGCACCTCTGTTCCAGCATGTAAGATTTCGTACCTTCAAATTTTCCTTCAAAAAATGTTAGACACATACTAGAAATTTCAGAAAACGGGGGAAGGTCCTGATATTGCAAATATTTGTTCAGAGGGAAGCCTCAGTAAAAACTACTTTCGGTGAATCCTTATATCTACACTTTAGTGCTCTGACAAAATTGAAAAAAGACTTATTTCATTCTCATCAATAACCTTCCGAACACTGGTACCACATAGATAAATACCATTTATTTAAATGTTCACTGTGCCGCAAAGGTTGAAATGAACCAGTTGAGCTGAGACCATGAGAAATAAGCACAAACACACTAAAGCAAAATCATAATTCTGTGTTACAATCCAGTTTCTGAGGTGAACTGACCGTTAGTCTTTTGGAAGCATCTACTTCAATCATGCCACGGAGAAGGTTCTGACAGTCTGGTGGGATGAAGTGTGGCATATGAAACACCCCCAATTTCACTTTCTCCAGAAGATTTCTTAAGTTGTCATCATCAAACGGCAGGGCTCCCTGCAGAAAGAGCCAGATAAGAGAACATGATGCAGAAATGCCATTAGGAGAAGGAAAAAGCGAAATGACACAATTTGGACTTAATACAATCGAGGCATCTCACTAAATAAAAAACCTTTGTGGAATCATTAAAGATGTAAAACTATATTATGAATGACAAATGGGCCTCCCCAAAAGAAGCAAAACCGTAATCTGAGTTTTATGCTTTATGTCTTAAAAAAATGTGATTTCTTTCTCAGCCCATTCAACTTTCCAGTTAGAGTTTTCTGCTGTCAAGTGTGCTGCGAAAATAAATATTTAACAGCTGTGAGCTGAAAACAGGGCTTTTCTAATAATTACCCCCATTTGTCATTTACCTTATTGATTTAGCATTTTCTCATCTCAGTCATTTATAATAGAGTGCTGGCACTTCACAGATGTGACTGTGTGATGAATGGCAACCTCCACCAGAACAGAATATGGTGGGAGGAAAAGGGGGCACAGAACATAAAGATTGGCTGAGGAGTAAAAAGGTAGAAAAAAACTGAGGGTAGACTTGTGTAACAGATGATCTGAGCGCAGCCTAACTGTTGGGGAGTATTCATGTCTCTTGCAATCAGACAAATGGCTATCTCGCAGTCAGACAGCAGAACAAAACAGGAGAAAGAGCACTGAATCTGGCGGCAAAGAGAAAAAGATGCTTTTTTTTTGTGAAGTGAGAGAATGTTCGCGATCAGAAAGTGGTAAACAACGTCAGGTTAACGCAATGCAGGAGTACAAAGACGTCCACAAAACAAGCAAGCTCATGCGTATGAGATAGAGAGAATAAGGGAGAGAGTGGAAGCGCAATGACAAATACACAGGGCCTGTGGCAAAAAGTTGCCACGTCAGCGTTGATATTTATTTTGGTATCTCTTCTTTCAGCTCGGATGTCTGAATTATTCATGAAGCAGGAGTGTGTAGGAACTCCAATACAGCTGTTGATGAAACAAAGCTTCAGGGCAGCATGGCTGGGGAGCCACAGACATAAAGTAGCTGGAGAATAGACCTTATAATGGAAACAGCTTTCTGTGTGGGTACAGGATAATGAATAAAAAGATGCTTCTACTCTCTGATCTGATCCAAAGTTGCACTAGAACAACCTGCTTTGGGGCCTTTCAAACATTTTTTTTGGGTAAAACCCAAAATTGAACTCCCTGGAAGCAGCGTTTCCATCTGAGGCACTACGATTACTTCAGATGTATTAATTTAGATATGAAAGGGGAAAGCAATGCTTAGTGGCGAAAGTGTATAAAGCCATTTTCCAGAGAATTTCAAACTCTGTGTCAGTCTAGTCACCATCAGTTAGTAAAGAATGAACCGACACTCACCACCAAAAGAGCAAAAAGAATGACCCCACAGCTCCACACGTCTGCTTTCCTTCCATCATACTTCTCTCCCTGAAGGCAACAGAGTTGTGAGGCAGAGATGGACATATTGTTAGAAAAAAGTGACCATTTTGAGAATATAACTAGTACAGCATGCTGTTAATCAGTAAAAAAAAAAAGGACTTACCCGGATTACTTCTGGACAGGCGTAATGTGGAGATCTGTTACATTAAAGAGTAAAAAACAAACAGTGAACACATGTGATAATAACAAAAGAAAGACCCAAGATGAACGTAGATCATTTAAGGGCTGCTATATTCTTTCCATCTGTAATGCAAAATGAGTCGGTTAAACAACGATAGCACAGCAAAAAACAATAAACATGCAAAAAAACACAAAAACAGGCAGTAACACTGAACATAGTCACTGGACATGGATCAAGGTTTTCTTGAGAAGTTTAAATATCCTGAGGGTGTTTGGATGTCCTCTTGCCTGCTCAGTCAAGGGCATCATCTCATAGCAGACAGTGAGCAGACTCCCTAATCTTCACAGCCCCTGGATGGACTGACAGTAAAGTCAATGACTAGATTGACACGTCAATATCATATGAAGATTTATGGAGCTTCCTGGCAAAAGCTGCTCCTTCAGACAGTAGCTGCTGAGGGGTGAAGCAGAGGAGTGACCTGTGACCCAAACTGTTGCTTTACTCTGACATTTTTAGATTAACAAATCAGCTACATTGTGTAAGGATGAAACACACTTAGGTCCATAATAAACAACGTTACTCAGCTTGTTATTTGGTCTTACAGAGCAATTAATTTTCCCCCTAAAACCTCTAAGCCGAGTAAGTTGCATCATGCACATTTTTTTCTCTCACTCAGCAAAGATCAGCATTAACAAGAGGCTATATGGACCTTAAATATGGAACCTTTTGGCTCACTTGTTTTGTTGTGTACTCATGAATGCTGGCCTTGACAGCCAAGGTACTCAAGCTGTCAAAACACTGGCTCATAATGGCCGTGCCGCCAAGTCAGTGACGGAAGTTGAATTTCGAGCCCATGCAAATATATCCTTCCTGATTGCTCATGTCATTATGCATTATGCAGATGGGCAAGGAATGGAAACAAACAAATGTACAAATAGAATGACATTGGCACTGGTTATGTCTCATGAGCAACCCAAATGAAAGCCTCACCTGGCTTCTGCATAAACAGAGTCATTATTGGCAAAGGCTTGAGGTTGGTCAAGATGCAGACGGTCAGAGAAGCAACTTGCTGTCTCTGAGCTAAATCCAATTTTCTTATTATCAGAATAATATAATTGATATAATTCATAAAAAGGTATTTTCACAGAACTCCATCTATAGCATTTCAGCTGTGTGCAGACTGCTGTGAGTTACTCGTGTAACAGCACCTGGTGACAACGTCCAGACACGGCTGTCCTCACACCCCCAAAAACACACGTCTATCCTTATGCCCACTGAAGACATACTGATTAGCAATCAACTTGTCCCCACTGGGGACGAGCTGTGCGAGGAGAAAAACTATTCAGACAGGATTTTGTATCTAAATAAAGCATTTAAAAATAATCTCTGAAAAATGTTCTGAAATTTAAGAATTTCTCAGTATATGTTTCTTATTTCTTTTGGTTAAACGGCAGCAGCACTCGACCTGAACGGACCTCTAAAGTTTACTGACGCCTGACGTCCCACATTACCCTGAAGTGTCTGACAATGTTCCAAAGGGCTTCTTGCAGTGTCTGGCATGTCCCTCACACTTTTCAAATGCCACATTTCACAGGTCCAGTAGAGCCGTTGTCAGGTGACTGCTGAGGAAAATTCACAGTCAGCGCTTCTAGGTCTTTTTCATCTCCCAGTCATTCATGCAAAGCTTTGAGGTGTGACTAGGCAAAAGATCACCAGACCAGAATGCTTGTTTGTTTAGCTACGATTGTGACACACCGTGGCATCATTCTGTCACTTGTCTGTCCACTGAATTAACCTCATATGTTACTGACAGAAGCATCTAATCTAGATTTCCTAGAAAATAGGATGTTTTCCAGTTATCAACTGTGAAAAGATGGCATGTTTCTGCAGTATTTCCCCCTCCAGTATCTGTAATAAAATTCCAGTCTGGCAGTGAGCAAAACTAGATGTACTGATTATATATTTACAGCAATAATTATTTCTTATGTATTTTATCTAAATGTACACTATGAAGATTTAGAGAGCTTAGACAAAGAAGATTTAGACAAATATTTTAGCACTAAAAGTGCATCTTTGGTTAGAAAAAGATACTATAACATTTGAAACTCTGATCAAACTCTGATATTCACCAATGTTTTTTTTTCTGATAACTCAGTGAGTGACTTTGTGAGGGCATGTATGCTTAAAAGCAGTAGAGCATGAAAATGATGTGCCGGGACACGTGAAGTTAAATCTGACACACGCACCTAGTCTACACCAAAATGTTTAGTTTTTTTTCAAAATGAAATGCATACCGTTTGTCAGTATATGCAAAATAATTAATCTTAATCAATCAGTGCAACAGAACAAGAGTAAATAAACTGTTAGCTTGGATGAATGCACAGCTGAGCTTGTTCTGATATAGAGAGCTGTCCTGGGTTCATGTTTGGATATCCTTGTCAGGGGCTCTGCTCATCTATACATCTGCGTGTGGCATGTGTTTAAATGCTGAACGCTCTCTGAGGCCCCCCCCCTCTCTACCTGAGGCAAGTCTCATCTCCACTCAGCTCCATTACCCAAAGCAAATGGAATACATTTGTGTCAGGCTGCTGCGTGGTGAGAGGGGAACCAGATAAATGTGTTTAATTAAAAAGTGTCATATCTGCACTTAGGGACGGGACAGTCAAAGGAGCATGAATAATCAATAACAACAATTACAGTGTGTGTCACATGTATTCGGCACCAGCGGACACACGCATACACACAAGCGCATACCCATTTATGAGGCATGTTTGCAAGCAGAATGACGATGAAGCTGAGATCATATATAAAAAACAGCACCGTTTGATATATGTGTGTGTGGCTCCATGTTACCAACAAGTACATTTAGCACTTTGTAAATGTACTGAGCTGATGTACTGCACCTGGGTTGGATAAATGAGTTACCCAGGGTGTCATCAGAATGCTTTCAAATATAGATGGAGCTGGTTCACAGCATAGCGGAGAGTGAAAGCTAATACATATGACTTTTCTGGGGAAAGTGAAACAATTTAGCATGGTCATCACTGTTGGAAAGTGACTCAGTGTTGGACATCTGATTTGCATAGTGCTTATAGCTGTAATACACATCCAGTTGGCTTGATCTCAACCAGTGAGTCATGAGCGCTTAGGCATTACTGTTACTGCTGAAAAAAAAATTATGCAACAGTTCCAGCTGGATGCGCGTGTCTGCTTAAGCACTCAGAAATGAGCATGCACATGAAGGGAGGGTGTCAGAGATGAACCGGGAGAGGACCCACCAAAGAGGACAAAGGGTTTAAAGGTCGCGGGATAAACTAAGCCTCGCATGTGTCATGAGGAAATGAGTGCTATCTAAATTGCTTAGTATTAGTATGTTTAATTTGGACAGAGTCAATCTGTGCTGCAGACAGACGTCACAGAACGTCTTTTTCACCCAGACGAGACAAGGCACATGCGGCGTAAAACAAAAACCCTCCACAAGACATGCTCACTAAATACACTCCAGACTACTTTATCCAAAGTGATGTAAATGTGCATAAGTTTGCAGGCATCACAAAACAAATATAGTATAGTTGTGTGAGCTCAAAACGAGAGGCATGTTAATTATAAGACTTACTATGTTCTACACGTAATAATTTCTAATTCAACACCTACACAAACTGGCAGAGCTTGACTCTTTCATGGAACTTATTTACACAAATATATGTTTGATGTGTTGCCATATCTTTTACCATAAGGTTAAATGAAAGTCACTTTAGAAGAAAAATGCAGCAATGAGGCTTTTCAGGTATGGGTTTATGAATATAAAAGCAAAGCACAAACAGTTTGACCTTCCTTCCTTATAAACAAACCGCTCATAAAACATAGGGACGGTGGACCATCCACGTTTCTCTGAATGTAATGTTTTTCTGGAAGTAAATTCATCATAGTAATTGGATCAATAGACCTTGAGTGTTTGTGAATGCTAGATCATAGCACCACCTCTAAGAAACATATGTAGAAAGTATTTTCTCAAACATGGGAGTGATAGCTCCACTCATCATTCCATGGTGGACTCCATCTTTGTTTCAGTCAGACAAACTTGTTATTAAAGCTTCACTCCAAATATGACATATAGCTGCTCTCAGAACTTATAATCTTCTAAATGTCAAAAGCAGAGGAGATGTTCCTTGGAAAAAAAAAGAGAATTTCAATCATTTTGACCATGCTTACCCACAGCTCGTTTCCAACAGACTGTCTCCAACCTGAAGGGAGGCCATGCCAAAGTCTGCTATCCTGATGTTGTTCTTTTCATCTAGCAACAAGTTCTCTGGTTTTAGATCCCTGTGGCTGAAAAAACAGCAAAAGAGAAAAAGAATACAGTTAGTGAGAGAGAAAAAAAAGCATATGTTAAACTTTTTTGGGGGAAAAATAAATAGGGGAGAAGCCAAATGATTAGTGAACAGGCTATCACATCTATGTACAGGGCTCTGAAGAGCACATCTCAGTCTGATACTGATCGCCCCGCTCCTCTGTGCAACAGCTCCCTTTGATCTGTCCATGCTGATACTGTGCAGCCCCCACCTCAGTGCCGGGGTGGTACGAGGTGTGACAGCGCCCTGCTGGGCCTCTTTCTCTCTGCGTTTCCCTCGCTCTTCACCCCACATCCCCTTCCTCTCATCTCCTCGACAGCCACCAGCAAACCGGCCGAGAAAAGGCCGTCAGGGGGGAGACAGCCACAGCGGTGTGTTCATTAGCTGCCATTCGTTATCACTAAACACAGCGAGGGGGATAATAGACAGCGGACATAGTCGTTCTCTGGAAAAGGGACCACTGAGAGGAATAACTCTCTCATGTCACGTATGCTGTTGCTGAGTCAGAGGTTAAAGTCTTAATTCCGAAAAGTGTGTATTATAACTCCTCTTAGCAATCTATTGTGCATTTAACATCTCCGGCAGGATTTAGGATTATATTGCATCATACTGTTCCTCTCTTTTAGTGCCTGCCAAAGCTGAAAGCTGCTGTGGACAGCACACCCTGCATTTGCGTATCTACTAACTTCCTGCCTGTTTGACTGCTCTCTGTTTCTAATATTGTTCGCAAACGTTTGGACATATAGTTTAATTCAAATCAATTGCAGATAGTAGAAGGAAAAGAAATGCCCTGATTTAACAATGCATTCAAATAAGGATGAATTATTACATTTTTGAAGTTTGGAAAGTTCAGTTAGGCAACCGAATGTGAAGACTTTACGTCCAGTTGCCTAACTGAACTTTCCAAGCTTGAACATGAACTGGATGACTGAGAATCTTCACAGATATATCAATTTTTTAAGTACACAGACGGTCTTTGTAACACTCTTTTTAGCATTTATCACAGCACTGAACTGCTTTTTTTCCAAGCAGACTTTCATTTCTGAGATATTCTTTATCTGCCTCGACTTCTTTTTGAGGGCTTTTCACAAGTTTGACTGACATTGTATTTCAGGTGACCTTGAAAGCAACAAGTAAACCTTCAGCTTGTGCATGTTGGGGAAAATCTTTCTCAAAACAGACTTTACCTTGTTCTGATTGGAGTTCCACATCAAAGTCTGTCAGAGCTTGACAAAACATTATATAAAGTGGGAATAAAAAGCTGTTCCTCTGATGACTCAAGGTGTCAACAGAAAATTATACCACCTTTCCAGAATCAATTTGATGAATACGTGTTTTTGTTTGAATAATTTTCTTAATAATAGTCATTTTAATAATCTTAATTATCACAGGAGTACTTGTGAAAAGAAGAGTACTTGAGTCAGAGTTAACAGAATCAGCCGAAGATCTCATGGTTGCTGAATGTTTGCCGATATTTAAAAGTCTGAGGATTTACTTAATTTACACATGACCCTTTCTAAGGATGAATCGAAATACCCTAATTCCTAATTATCTGATGAAAGCCTAAACACTTGATTATAATCATTTGAGAGTAAAAAATATTGTGCCTACATTGAAATTGAATGCATGAATTAGTAGAATTATTGATACAATGATTTCATACAAATTAATCGACAGATAAAAAAATCTGTTCAACTTAAAATTTGGCTTCTTCGTTAACGACTTCAACGTCTTTTTACACTTCTGGCTTTAATTTTAGACAGACTTTGCCCATCCTTTTTGCACATTGCCATATTTGCTTTGCCTCTTATGTTACTTTCAATGGTGGGGAGAGGGAGTGGGGTACATAGCTGTCAGGGGTGTCATGTGCTATACTTTCATCTGTACTTTAGCGTAAAGATAGGAAAGAACAATAGCATAATGTGCCTTTGAAGAATGCTTCATCACAATGGACATTTAACCTCAGATGGCATCAATTGTTGTAAAACTGTCATCCTGTCCGGAGGGATTAGCTGTCAGCAGGTTTGTTATCATGCTGGCAGTCTGTGATCCTTGTTACAATTGATATAATACATAGATATCATCTAAAAGGGTTCTCCCCAGGCACCAACTTCTTTCAGTTCACACTACCATCATTTGGCAGAGGTGTCAGTAGCTTGAGAGTTTTAACTAATGTTGCTGAAGCACATGAGTAAGGGATATTTACTGGTCTGCTCGAGGGCCTGCTTAGTGTGAAACAGTGTTTGCAGAAGCCATCTCTGAGGTCAGATCTCCTTTTTTCAGATGTCAGAAAAACAAACAAACGTATACAACATCCTTGTTATGCTTGATATTTTCCAATTAAAATTGCTCCTGAAGGCTAAATGTTTTATAGAGGACAGAGGTTCTTGTTAGACTTTTATAGATAAATCATTCCACAAATATGCATCAAAACAGACAAACTAAACAAAAGTGTTAATAGTAACTGACATTTTAAATTTCTGATAAATGTATCAAACTATCAAAGAAAAATAAACTCATCCTGAAAGGTAAAAAGAGCAATGCACCATCATAATCTTATCTTCTTTACGATATGTGTGAGCTGTGAAACCAAATCTAAACTCTTAATGTCTTTTAGAACCATACACATGGCAGACTCCGAACACTGTACCATCTTGAGGCTCTTAACAAAAAGAGCCAACACTGAAAAGACTGACTCACAAAAGAGAAAAGGCCGTAGCACATTTAGCCAGTGGCAGCACAAAGTAGAAAATTGCATTTGGATGTTTTATTGATAGTCAGGTCACTGGTATCCATAATAGGACTTTAAACTGCCTCTGTAGATCACCCTGCGCTTTACAACAGCAATCTTGTAAACACGGTGGGGCTTGCAGGAGCTTATATTCCTTACTGACCCATTCAAAAAAATCCAGAAGCTGCAATAAGCCTGAATGCAAAACACTATGAGTTACTTGTTACTGTTGACTTATGCTGAAGTTCCTCCATCCATCATGTTAGCATGCTGTACATTAAACAAGTGGAACATGTCGTCCCAATGCAGAAGAGGCAAGTGTATCTTCAACCTCTACCTGCTGCATTATGAAGCTTTATACTTCAGTGATCACTAGACAAATTAAGATATCTTAATTGCCATTCAACATTTGCAAATATTTTCCTGATATGTCTAGTTTTAAGCAGACCTATAATGAGTATTTACTCTGAGGATTCAAATTCCTGAATGATTCCACAGACATGTTCGTGGTGAAGAGCTGTTTTATCACACAGTAAGACACAATTTGTTTTAATATTACTCCTTGTCAAGTTTGCTGTCACACACAGCCGTGTGGCTTTAATTTACTGCATCAGCACACTTTAGAAAATAACACTAATCAGATCAACATTAACATGCCAGGCAAATACCATACCTAGTTTCTACCTTCACATGGATTGCCAAAACTATGCTGGAATCTTTACTGTCATCCTGAGAGTATGTTTTTAAACCATGATCTTATGCTAGCCTCAGGCATTTCTCTTTGTCATCCTCCTTTCTCCATCTTCCATTTTTTCTGAAACTTTTTTGGGCTTCTGTTGACCCATTTAAAAAAAAACAAGCACATTCACGAAGAAAACCTTAAGGGTTGCATCTTGTCACATAGGTGAGAGGACAGTGTTCTGACTGATAACTTGAATGTGCTAAAAACAACTGTTCTTCAGCTGGTAGGGTTAATTTTAGATTAGGAGCTATGGGGAAAAAGATAAGTCAGTGAATGTTAAACATTATTGCAAGGATCTCTAAGTTTTCTTCCCGGAAACCTAATAATACTAATAATAGCTGGTCAGAGTTTTTCTGTTTCTTAAACAAATTTGTTAGATGTATATAATTTAAACTCTCCACCTTACTGCCACTGTTTTGAAATTACTTTAATTAGGTTTTTGTCATGACATGTTGCACTCACGTGTAAGAACTGGGACTAGTAAAATTAGATGCTGATGATGCTAAAGGCATGATCATATTTGAGGTAAAATCAAGTAATGCTTTTACCAAAAGAAAACCTTTAAATTCTACAAGAGTTTTAGTAAAGGACTGCCATGTGTTAAATTGAAAATATATTGCCACTTATCATCCAATCACCCCTTTGTGGCTTTTGAAATTAAAGACCTGAGAATGATGTCTAATGTGTTAAGGTTAATTTGATTCATATTTCTCCAGCTGCTTGTGAGGCAGTATTTTAAAGGATGCAGTTATGGGCCATATGAACAAGAAGACTTATTGAACCTGTCAAAGCCTTTTAAAAAGGAGGACTTATTTAAGTTTCTGGACTCACATACTTCTGAGTCTGTGCATAGTCCAAATTAATACTATTCATTGTTTTTCTTGAATACTTACATTTCCTTTATCTGGAATTCAAGCACTGAGAGTTACATCACTGATCACTCTTTCTGTTTCTTTGCAAGGTGCTGAAGTTTGTCTTTTGGGAGTTTCTGCTGAAACATTACCCTCATATATAAAGTTTATTCATTGGGTTATTATGACCTTTGAGGTTGGGGTTGAAGTTTATTTCCTTTAGTATAGCTGACAAGAAAGCTTTTCTGTGCCAGGCTGGCTTCATTGATCAAGAGGTGGAGTGAGCATTAAGTGTGGTCCAAGTTTATACAGAAGATCTGAATAGCTGACTGAGAATGCTATTTTGAAGATGAGCAGTTCTAAAACAAAGGGCCATTATTGCTTTTAACTCAATTTTGGCTTCAGCCACCCAAATACTGCTCCATTTTCAAATCAAACTTTTTTTATGCCACCTATCAACATCAACTGATTTCCTTCAATGATGTATGACCACAGTACTTTAACTGGCACTGACTAATACTTTTTATTAGATGTATTAGAGGCGGAACCCATATGTCTATGTCCACCGAAGCATGTGATCTCTGGGCCACGAAAAGAAAACAATAAAGGAGCTAATGGGTGGGAGAGATGGGAGAAAGGTGGGAACAAATGATGTCTGCGGTTATTATGCCAGTGTGTAGGTTTAATGTGACTTCTGGATCAGGTGTTTGCTTGTTTGTGCGTGTGTAGGTGGCAGCAATAACGTGACAATCAGAGAATCAGGGATAGGAGGTGTACAAGTGCCATTATGATGAAGCCATGTTTTTTAGAGGACATGTCTCTCTAAGTGCTGTTGAAATCTCTGACATGCGAGTTGGAATGGCTGCAGTCACTGATAATGACTCTTCATAACCTCTTACTAAACACAGTCGTATTGTAGGACTGATCAAAATAATGATGCTGTAAGTGAAAATGAGGGCAAAGGCTTCATCAAATGTCAGCATACATGGGAGTGTTCTCTATCCCTTCCAAAGCTTAAAAATTCATAATCACTTTTTATTCACAGCGCTTTTGGAGACTCTACTGGTGGAGGATTGTTTTATAGAAAGAAGTGGATATCCAATTTCATAATACATTTAAAGAAAATCATAATCAAATTCATCAAATGATGAACATAATTGGAGGAGATTATATTAAAAATACTGAGCCTTGGTATTCTGTTTCCAGACACATTACCAACGTTGTTTTACAGAGTACCAAAATACTCAGAAAAACATCTTTTCTGGGATGCTATTTTGAAAGTAATCCATACAACATGTTTTCCAGCTGCCTGTTTTCAGTCAGCCCAATTGCTTTTGAAGAACAGAATTAAATTTAGTGAACACACATAGAATTAAAAAATCAGGTAAATCCTTACAGTATTTGTGTGAAATTAGGATTAGCTGAAATGTGCAGTGAATTTGAGAGCAACACGTTTCTTAGAGGTGGCCATCCATAAAGCTATAACAGATGTTATATTTTCATTTGGAAATATTTGCCATAGGGCTGCTCGGTGGTGTGGTGCGTGGCATCGTCGCCAGCTGGCAGTCCTTTCTGTGTGGAGTTTGCATGTTCGTTTGTATGCGTGGGCTCTCGCTCGTTACTCTTGGCTTCCTCCCATGGTCTAATACATGCATGTTAGGTCAATTAGTGACTCCTAATTTACAATAGGCATGGCTGTGAGTGTGTATGTTTGTCTGTCTTGTATGTGTCTGTATGGCCCTTCCATGGACTGGTGACCAGCCAATGACAGAGAAAACAGGCTCAGGCACCCATGGGAGCCTGTTTGGAATAAGTGGGTATAGAATGAATGGTGGGCGAATGTTTTTCATGGTTATTCATGTATTTCATGTATTCTTTATTTTTGACAATTTCACCCCCTGGATCTTAATCTTTTAACAGTTGTTACTGAAAATCAATACTTTTTTTTGGCAAGCTCTGTAAGAAAATAAGCCTAATGTACCATCCAATCATGGAATGAGAATCAGCTAATATTACTCTCTAATTAAAACTTTAATGAGCAAAACAGAGGATTTTTAATTTAGTTATATACAAAGCACACTTAGTACATCTGTAATGCCTTTTTATAAAGTATCAAAGCATAAGAAATGTATTTACATGATGGATGCTTTTTCTGTCCCTGCTCTCACCCATTTGGCCATTCTCTCCCTTCACATAAACAGACAACATCTCTAATTTCAGAAACGAGTCTGTATCAGGCACAGGAAGCACTGAGTCACAACAGCCTTTTCTCTCTACCTTCTTTTCCAGTCGTAAACAGACTTGAATCCATCTGGTCCACGAGAGATATTTGGGGAACAAACGTAGGCGGTGGACGGAAGCATGAGGCAATGAGAAGAAGCGAAAACGGGAGGTGTGCACAAAAGGATGGCTGAGAAGCATGTGCTACATCCCCCAACCTTTCTCCACAGACACGCTAAACCCTGCATGGTGAGTCAGAGAGGAAGCAAAGTACTTCTAATGGCCTTTGCACAAATGAATAGAAAACAAAGAAATGATCACTGAAAACCTTCTCTTTCTCGCTTTTTCAGCAAAGGGATGCTGGGATCTCATTAGTGGGGATGGAAGACAGGTGAGAAGGGTTACGTGTGTCTGTCTGCTCCCTATTGATGTTGGGAGGAGGGTGAGCGCATGTAGCAACTCTACAAAACAATCCCTCTCATCATAAATTTACAAGGCATCATTTTCTAATAGTGTTAGTGAAGGGATTTGAAGAGCTAAGAGAGAGAGGCATCACCAGAGTAACGCAGGGGAGATAAACGTGTTTGTGAATCTTGTTACAAAGGAGTTGATATAATCTATGTATGTGCATGCTCCCACTCTAAGTCCCATATGTTTTCCTCTAATTGGCCTAATCTGTCCTTCTTTAGAGGTATTATCAGGCATTATTTACATAGACTGAAACAAGAAATCTAATTTTCATTTGGTCTGGGGGGGCAGTTTTGTTTTATTCCTAGCTAGAAAATTAGTTATCTTGAGTTTTCCTCTCTCAGAAATCAAGGCTCAATCTATTAATTTACTCGAGAGCAACATCACAGGGCAGCTTGAAAAGAGTAAAACTCTGGCACATCTATGAAGTACCTTGTGTATAAGAGCTATTACAGGGGCTTTATTTATAGCAACAGTCAAAATGTAACTGCCTCAACTATAAACCATACTGTATACAATTCAAAGCATATTCAATCATGGAAATAAAGCTGCACAATTACATGACGTACCATTTTAATTCTTACCCAGTTATTAATAGTGTAACTCTATGCTAATCTATTTTCCAAACGTTTTCTAGCTCCAGATTTAAGTGTTTTTCTGCAACAATTTTTCAAGTTGTAAGAAAATCTGCACTGTCCCTGTAAAAGCTGCTTTCAAATCATTTAAATGTATACCATCTCATTTCGAGTCAACAGCGGGGAAAGAACAGTGGACATAGGCTTTTCAAAATATGTTCTCCTTTTTTTCCTTTGCATAACAATGGTAACAAAACATAATGTACCTGATAATAATCCTGTTTTATACATAATCATGTTACAGCTCTTCAATTGAATGCAAATTAATCGGATATCAGCATAAAAACCTTTTTGCTCTTTGTTTTCTACATCAGCATTAACCTTTTTCAATTTGATAAGATCACTATTTTGTCAAACTAAATTATGAGTTGTTGACGGATGCAGCGCAACCGGTTATTTCTTTTGTGTCGGAAAGACGATTACACTGAGTGCATATCATGCTAAAGACATGGCATATATATACATATGTAAGAAACTGAGCCAGAATAACACAGAACTGAATGAACTGATGCAAATCCGTCCTGCCATATGCAAAGAGCCAAAACTGTTGAATCATCAGTGACGTCAGAAGTTAAGCAGTGGAGCCTAAATATAGTGCCTTTACTAATGTGGCCTTGTAACTGGGTTCTCTTTGGCTCTGCTCTCACTGCAACCATTGAACAAATTAGGGCACCAGCAAATTAGAAAACAAACCACAAACACAACATTACACTTGCAGGAAAAAAAATGCAAGTGCCTTTGAACTGGCTAAAGGCACTTCATCAGTGTCACCGTCTTATATTTTTTTCACTGACTTGTGCTACGACACACTAGTGACACAAAGACATTTGGCTTTGTAAAAAGATCTGTAGCATCTACCTGTGGGTCAATCTGTAGAATATGGAAATGCGAGTAATTACCAACATCCAAAGTAATCTGAGTTATAATTTATCACTAAACGTCGTCATGAAGAGGTATACCAATGTCTAAAGCGGCAACAATCAAGAAAAAAAAGGGATGAAGTAGAGTGAATAAATAACGTGTTGTTTTTAAAAATGTGTATATCTTTGTAGATGAGAAATATTTTCAACAACGCTTGATGCTAATTTCTGGTAAAAGCTGCTTGAAATTGTGTTAACATAAAAAAACCCCATTCCTTATGGTTAACAAGAGGAAAATACAAACTTTGAACACTTCCCTTATCTGAGGGTTTCTAACTGCAGAGCAACACAGATACAGGTTATTTAGCATGGTCAAAGTGGAATCTTTTTTACAGTACCAGTGCCCTGTTCTGCAAAAACATGGAAATAAAATGGAAGCAAGAGCTAAACAACCTCTTTCCTCTGTTGGAAAAAAGATTCATTTACCCTCAAACTGCAAGTTGTTGTTTTTTTGTGTCAATGTATGACTTCAATTTCATCTTTACTTTTTTCTTAAAGTTATGAGAGTTTTCCCACAACAGGCCCACATTCTCCTGAGATGGAAACAAAGCCTCTATAAGCTTTAAGATCACAAATACATGTGTACACCACGCACACATACAAACAAGAACAAATGCACAAAGAGTTCCTTAATTCACTCCCTGCTGACATGTTTGACTTTTGAAGTTTATATGAATGCCTCTGGTCTAAGAGATGATAAACACTTGAATTACCCCCAGAAGAAAAACACAACAAGATAGATTAGAGCAGAGCTACGGAAATACAACATGCGACAAGAAGAGTGGTGCCGTCTGTTTTGGAAACTGCACATCTAGTTAGACGTATCAGATTGTGTAGTTATCATTAGAAGTTTGCTATTAATTGGATCTGGTTAGCTATTAAATTAAAAATGCGTGATAAAATTATGCAAAAACATGGTATGGAGATTAATCTATGCCCTATGTGATAAGTTGAGAAAACAAAGGTGTCTGTGTTTGACACGCATCAGCCAAACTCATTAACATCTGATTTTTAAAATGTATTTGGTTCTGTAATCTTTGTATTAACGTATAAGTCCTAACTAACCCTCCAAATATCCATGGAAATTTATAGGAAATTAAATCGAGTATTCACTTCAGGAGAAATCTATGTTTATTCAGAAGGCATTAGTAGGGATATCTTTATTTGTTTGTTGGTATGTAACATCTAAATTAAGGTTACCATGTTTCCAGGGTATGACTGGTTATTGACCAATTTTCTTTAAGACAGTAAATGTTGCTTTTATAAACCTAAATATCTCATATTACATGCAGTGAAATCAGCATTTGAGTATGCCTTTTTTGTTAGATTTTTATTTTCTGCATGACAGCACTTACCATATAGAATGACTGTGGCAAAAGTCCAGGGCAGACATGATCTGTCTGAAGAATTTCCTTGCCTCTTTAGGTGTTAACCTGCCTTTCTTCACCAAGTAGTCAAACAGTTCACCTCCCGACACATGTTCTAGCACAAGGTACCTGGGAAATACAGAACATTAGAAGGACACTGGTGAGAGAAATACACATACAAATCTTTCGAATAAACCCAGACATTCAAAGGGAAATGCAAATACTGACTTTATCAGTCAAGCCCTGAATGAAAAATGAAAGAAAAAAACCTTAATCTTAAGAGTTCTGTCAGAGCTGAGAGATAGAAAACTGAGACAAAGCACCCACATCACTAAGATGATCTTAAAACACATTATGTTGAATGTTTGTTTCTCAGTTTATCTAATAAAAGTGTTGCACATAGTCACATGCAGTCACATGCTGACAGTTAAGCCTTTTACAGCCATATATAAAGAGATTCCACAGCAATGCATATTTTGATTTCCCCTGAAGGGCATCAGATGGAAGATTTAGTTGCAAAAAACAGAAAGGTTTAGGGAAACTGTCTTAGATATAAAAGATTTCAAACTTGTAAATCCTGCAAAAGATGTAAGCCTCTCAAGGAGCCTTTGTTTCGGCACTTGGTCTTATCAAGCTGAAGAAACAAAAGTTGTTCATTTTCACTGTGTGTGCAATTCAAATAGATGAATACTTGTCCAACCACTTTTTGAAATTCTTGATGCATGCACAAGCACAACATGATCTGTACAGTCCGTTCTCATGCGGCCGGTTGCCAGGTTGCCTTTGAGGCTGGACTTTTGGTGTTTGGTTGTCCCCACTGTACAGTGTGGCCATGCTCTGGGACACTAAGAGGGCAGATAGGGGATAAATCTTGAGCTTAAAGCTGAATCTGTGGGTTGAAAGCCAGCACTGTTCTGCCTCTGCTCGACTCGTATATGCTATACCAAAACTTCTTCCATAACTAGGTCAAGTTGAAATCCACAGAGACTCTAAAATAAAATTTCCTTCCATTCCTTTTGGAAACTTTGGTCTATATCCATGTCTTCAGTTTTATTAACGAACATATGGTGTTACATACTGAACTGGCTACAGGGTAAGTGCTCGCTAAAGCCAAAAAGCTGGTTATGGTCAAACCTCAGTGGATTCCACACATACATTTACTATGCCAAACAGAACTCAGTATGCATATCTACAGGCAGATAATTTAAGCTTCCACATTTTGCATGACAGGGATTTAATTTAATTTTGTTTTTCATGTTTCTGTAAACACATCACTCCCCTGGTTTTGTAAAAATCTTCAATTCAGTAGATTGCTGAATACGAAACCAGTTATGGCATTGATAAAAATTAGGCAATGATGTTTTGTGAGAAGAACATAAAAGTCAGATCATGTGAGGTGACCAAAACCCTTTGTAAGTAGTCCCTTTAATGGTGTCTCCACATCCTCAAAGGTTCTTTGAGGTAGCAAGCTATTCATACGATATCTGTGCTCCATTCAGCTTTTATCAATTAATAGAAGGCTAAAAAATTACTTTGTAGTACAAGTACAAGTGGTGAGAAAATACACTGGATCTTCTGTATACATTTTTGCTAAACATGAACATCTATTTAATAAAAATATTATTGGAATTTAATTTGACATTGTGCCTTGCAAATATTCCATTGTGGAAGATAAAGGTTCGAATTTTGTTGTACTTTTTCTTAATAATGATTCATTCTTTAATAAGAAATCAAATCTACCAAGATTGATAAATCTTAAACTGCAATACAAGGACACACTAACCCTGGAGATTGGAAGAGTCTTGTGGAAAATTGCATCTCTGTTAGTTATTTTGTGACATTAGTACAACTCAAGTGCCTCAAAGGGCCAGAAAGCAACACTGACACAAATCAAATGAGCTTACATTTGTTACTATTGTCTCAGACTTATGATAACTTTTTGTGAGCCCTTTTCATCCTGAACTCCACAATTTATATCATCACCATAACGTAATTGTCATGTAGAAATGAAATATTCACGAATAAGTAAATGATGCTCTCAGGATCACATTTGCACCACTTCCATTTCACCTCTTGAACATACAGGTTATGATAATTTAAACTGATTGTGGTTGGACCTGCCCCAGCAACCTAATAAATCTTTAAAGCTGTGGGACTGCCAACTCCAAACCTGCTGAGTGCCTATCAATCATTGGCTTTCAAGACATATCTGAGTAATAATCTCGAACATATTAGATGCAAAGTAACATCACTGACACAAGGGCATTGCAGTTTCTCTGTGTGCATGTGGACAGCAATTTGTCTTCCGCATTGCTACTGGTGACCGTCTGTCAAAACTGATGAAGCAATGAGCAAAAAATGTGATTTTAATAATCCAATTACAGGATGAATCATAATATTCTGCTTTTCCTATCATCTTAAAGGATGAGATGCACGGTGCAGCATGTCCAATCCCATTTGGTCTGTATGCTCAAGATGAGACCTAAATGAATTTAGCTAATAAATAGTGCTCTCTAAATCAACAGATCCAACTAACGGACTTATGGGACTGGCACTTTAAAGTTAGCTAATAGATTTCTGTGTTTCTGTATCTGATTGTACGCAGCCGCTGCACCAAGCTCGTCACTCCTTATGTTTCTTAATGCATTGGTGCTGCCACTGATAAGCTCGTCATGGTGTTACATTACACAGATTTTCTCTCGCTATTAAGTCCTCCAGCATGTGCAACCAAATTAAATGCTCCACGCCAATACTAATAGAGGACGCCTCCAAGGCAATAGTGGTTGCATTGCAATCATAAAATGCCAAGTTGATCTTTAGCATTTTTTAAGATTAATCTGACAGAATATCTGTGAAAATCAAATGTCATTGTACAGAAATATTTATCTATGAAAGATCATATTTAAGGTGCACAACAATTTAGATGTTCATGTGAGCCTATTGGTTTTAATTAAGCAGACATGTCCAGCTTTTAATGCAAATCAAAACAAGACCACAATCGACTGCTGATACTTACAGATATTTTTTATTTTCGTAGACATCGTGTAGCTTTAAAACGTGTGGGTGTTCTATGAGCTTCAGAATAGCTATTTCTCGCTCCACCTGTAAGAAAGAGAGATACACAGAGATCGAGGGAGAATGAAAGAGGGAGAAAGAAGGACAATATCAGCATAGGTAAATATATAGAAAATGCCATTGATTACAGTCAGTATCTTATTTAAATTCAACCATTCTCTCAATGTTGCAACTTGCAGCAAGGAGAATGAGACTAAGATGAACTTAAGATGAGGTCTCAGCAATATTTTTTTCATTGACTTTAAAGGATAACTCTTGAAGGACATGAGCCTGTAGCAGAGCTGGAGAGCTAAATGTAAATGTCTATGCCAGGAAAATGAGCTAATTTGGATTGTTTTACAGTGAAAATACAGTGAAAGGTTCTGCCCATATATTGAGCACTAACATCAGGAAAAAAACGTCATTCTGAATCACGTTTCATAATTCAGTTGTCTTCTTGAGGTGAACATTACCCATCTTTTTCAGATCAAAGAACAGTAACCTGTGGGAGTCCGTATATGAGTACTGATGTGAGGCCTGTGGTGAAAAAAGGGGGGGGAAACGCTCAACGGGTATAACAATATCTACCAGATGGGGCTTTGTCTTTGTGATCCACAGTGTGCCCAACATCCTGATTTCACACATAACCACCAACAGTGTCCAAAACAAGTTTAGACAAGTTTCAGAGTAATGATCAGTGGGCTCTCATCCACAGTGACAGAGGTGATGCTAGACACTTTCTGTGCTATTCCAGACAGGTGAGAAGTCAATTTCACTATAATGGAGCTGATCAGTTTGGACTTGTGTAAGCATCTCCAGAGACCGATGCCAGCATGCAGAGCTGACACCGAACATATCCACGGGAAACGCGTTGACTAGAGCCACTGCACCTTGTGCTCTTGCTCTGCTCGTGGCTGTCTGTTCAGCCTTCTCCTCAGCGTTTCTTGTCCATCTTCCCCTTCACCCTCAGTGTCTAACTTTTACTGACAAGGATGAAGATGAAAGAACCATGTGAGGAAAAGGCTTCTCTGTCTCAACTCAGTGTCATCAAAGTCAATTTCACTATGCCTGTGACAGCCTTCACATTGCTTTAATGTCAGACTCAGTGTGACTGAGCTTTATGAACAATCCTGTTGAATGAAGTCTCACTCAAACTGATCCATCGGCAAACTCTATTTCCAAACTCCAACAAAGCTTTGAGTTTGACTAGACATAATCGGTTCTCCCTCTTTTTAATTATTCAGAAATCCACATTGTTTCAACTCCAGAACAACTTTCGTCGTTGATGGGTGCTGTCTTCTCAAGTCATTTATGTAATCCATCTTGACACACCATTCCTTAATATTTCCTAATGTATAAAAAACAAATCCTTATCAAATACCTGACAGATTTTAAGCCCACACACAGTTTGCACATATATGCACCTACAATTGCTGAGATCACTGGAAGTCTAATTTTTCCAAGTGTAAAGCTTCAGTGTAATTCAATGGCTTTACATTTTTACCCCATTCCATGTTACACCCGCTTGTAGTTATTCTCCTCTCTTGCAGATTGCAAAAGTGTCTAAAACCTATCTCTCTCACGAGAAAAATGCACCGTATTCCAATACCAGTGAAGATAGGAGTCACAAGAGAATATAAAGTCAAATATAACCCTTTTCAAACCTTGTATGAAAAGGGTAAAGTGGTAAATGTGTAATTAACACTATTGTGGAGTATCAGTGGGGGACAAGTCTGGGCTTATCAAGCCTAATCCAGACACTAATGAGCCCTATCAGCAGCACCACACCATGGCACATTCTCACCTTAGGTGTACTATTAAGAACAAGCCTGTGGTAGCTAACCGGGATTCCCTGCAATGATTCACATGCTACGTGTCTAAGGAAGAGATGAACTGCTGGAATGCCAGAGAGCTAGCAGCTGGCCTCTAAGCCCCCTCAATGCATCCCCTTAATGTTAATTGAAAAAAGAGACGGGGCTTAAAGTGAAGAATTAAATCTGAAACTGCTCACTTATCACAAGATTAGCTGTTGATTAACACACTGAAATAAATCTGTGGAGCAACGCTTGCTCTTGTTATTAATAACTGTACAAAAGCTTAATTAAACAGTTGATGATTGTCATTTAAAATAAATGGCTTAACATTACATAGAAATGCCAAACACAGACGCATATCAACAAACTGCCTTTATTCTTCTTATCAAAGCGTCAGTTTCACACTCTGTCATTCCAGGTGGTCAGGTTTGGTCTTGGCCTGCCTCCTGAATAATACACTCTTTCTCATTAAGATTCACATCTGCGAATTTCAACAGTTCAACCCAATTTCCATGTCTCCATAGCTCTTCATTAAGCCTCTTTTAGCAGGCTCTTTGACTCCAAACAGGGACACGCACACTTACAAAAGGGTTGTTGAACTAAACCAAAATATCTCTTTTGTGTTTCTTAGTATTTCAGTTAATCTTATGCTTTCTCAAATTGTGAACTTCAAATTTGGAAAATTCTACCTGATTAAATAGGTGTGCAAGGTCCATATAATATTACAGGGAAGTGTTGTGCAGAACTAGGCAAAAGAAGGTCGAGGATAAATGGTGTCACATCAGATTCAGATGATGAAAGCAACTTCAACACAGTTCCATCAGCTGGGTATTGATTTTTAAAATTACAGGCCTGGACCTGAATGACTGAATGGGTGGGCAAACTAATGACTGACGACATCACTGTGCTTAACAGTCCAGCGATAGAGGACAGAGGATTAGAGACAGCCAGACAGCAACAAAGACGCAAACCGATTAGACTGATGTCACACATGTCATGAAGTGACCACACAGAGAAGCCAGCCCAAATCTCAAAGGGGTAAACCTCAGATCACAGACTCATTTATTTCTCACTCAGCGCTTATTGCACCTCACACTATGTTTCCTGCCTTTCCCGCTTTCTCTCTCATCCGCACAGAAGGAAAACACAGACATTCATGTCACCTCCCGCAGGCATGCGAGGGAACAGTCCCTTGATGCTGAGATCTAAGGATCAAAGTCAACAGGGCAGCCATGTGTGGCAGATAAAAAGGGCGGGTGGCTATGCCAACATGGAGGCCGCAGAGCATGCAAGAACTATGAAATGGAAAGCAAAAACAAAAGAGAGACAGAGGGAGGATGAGTGAATGTGAAGAGGATGGAACTGGTGTCGTTCGCAGCACTAGATTGGTGACATGAGAAAAAGTAGTGGGGGACAGGGTAAATGGCAGTGTCAGCTTGATCCAAGCATTTCACAAACCCCTCGGGTTATGCGGCCTCTTGTGTAGTTAATTAACTTAACATGAGAAAAAGGACAACGCTTTTAGCTGTGTCATGCCACAAATAATGCATTAGTTTGTACAAGGGAAGTCAATATGGCAACAATCTAAAGAGGCATTACAGGATATAGAAGACGGCATTACTTACTTACTAAACAGCAGTATTCATAAGGTTACTTGAGTCTATCAAAAGCTTTCTTTATTTCATAATTGGTATTTCAAAAAGTAAGGCTCCTTATTTATGGTGCAATCTTATAAGACTCACAACAAATTTGTCATGCATATGAATTAATCTGACGTTTTTCTTTTTCATATTTCACCTTTAGTTTCTCTAGAACTGATGGCATCTCATTTGCTTGAGTCTTGCTATTAACACAAAGTAAAAATGTATGAGAGGAGATTAAAAAAAAACTTATGGATGCAGTAGAATTCACATATAGAAGGGCCAGTGCCTGGGGAGAAGTAGATGAGTGTCCATCTGAGAGTGAGCGGGGGGGAGGAGACAGCATAGCTTGGCAGCTGGCTCCCAGACAGAACCAGTCGGCCTGTCATCCATTCATACTTGTGACATGTGGACACATTACTTCATGAAGCACACACATGCTACACAGATCACAGCGAGCCATGAGCCACCTCTACCCATCGACCCATATGTCGGTCAGTGAGCCAGTAGGACAGAATCTGTGTTTTCTGCCAGTTACAGGAGGAGGGCCAAGCTGGTGTGCACATGTATATCTGTGTGCATGTGCTTCCACATGCATGTTAGTGGTAATGAGTTTAGCAACTGTAGACCCAGATATGCCCAGCTTTGAAACCCGGAGAGTAGAAACATCATTTTCAAGGACAAACACACTTACTTTACTCACTCCTACAACTGCATTGAAAGGCATCAGTCACAGAGAGTCAGGGTCCAACTCTATTTTTTTGCACAGGGCACGGTCACAAGCTTCAGTGTGATATTAACATGCGTTTCTGGGAAAACCTGCTGATCCAAAATTGGTTCACATATTCACAAAGATAGGGTGAGGATACTGGATTAGCAGTTTTTCAGCATGCATGGGTAACTGTTATCTCTCAAAACTGAGCTTTCCCTGCTGAGAGCGAAAGAAAGTATGAATTAAAATCATATTTGTACAATTCTTTTTCAGTCAGAGTTTTCAAACTGAAAAAAAGTAATGTCCCATTCATTTTCCTTTTTCTTATCGCTCTCCATCTCACCTCAGGGAACTGAAAAACCCAACCGCATGTACACACACACAAACGCAGGGATGCACAGCCAGCACAGTAGGGTTTTTTGATAATCACTTTATCAGTCATCCTTTGTGGAGAAAAAGTAAATTCCCTTCACAGGGGAGTTTGATCAATGCTGGAGACATGTAAATCAATCTGGACATAGTCTCTGCTAGCTGCTTAATCCTTATCTTTTATCTATCTTCCATCCTTTAAAATGGCACTCATTACCGCTTCCTACCCAAGACCAATTTTAGTCCTCCTCGTCTTCTATCTTTTCCTCCCATCTCTCATTCCATCTCACTAATCTAGTCTGTGATATGTTTGTGTTCTGTTGACAGATTCATCAAGATGACACTTAAAGCCATGGCAAGCCACATCATTCAGACTAAGAGACGTGTCCCTGGGTAACCTTGGACCTAATAGAGTCTAACAGGAGAGGCCTCCTACACCCTGAAGACAATTAGTGTAATAATGAACCTTTTGAAATGTCCTATATGGGTTTATGTGTGAAGTGGGACATGCCA